CCACGTGAAATGGGTCTAATAAGGTCTATCGACGTCATTCGTTTATCATTTGGGCACCAATGACGTCATTTCCAAGGGGGGACATAAGCCATGGTGTGTTTATTGTGGACACAGAACTCTCGGTAAATGTTGAACATATGAATTGATATAACGCAAAAAATAAATTAGTTACTTCTGATATGTGTACGGGTTTGGATATAAAACTACTTGACAAACATTTTTCATGATGAAAAAGTGCAAGACAAAAAGGTTTATTTTCGTGTACACTTGCCCTTTAAGTCTTATATCCACGTGAAAGAAAAATGTGCACCTAAATATTATTTATATGGAATAAGGAAGGCAAATGTTTTGCAAACAAGAGTTTATGCCAGTTTGCACACAAGATTAAGATATATGATGAGTACACTTAATTATGATATATTTAGAATAAATATATTTACAAAAATAATGCATCATGTCAATGTGGCCATGGATGTGAGAATGTTTTCATTACTTCCCTGAATGTCCAGTGTATGCTATTCAAAGACATAAAATGTTACAATCTTTAGAAAATATTGTTAAAATCAGAACTCTAAGTTGGATAACTTGTGCCTAATCATTTTCGTGAATGAATAAATCAATAAACACAATCAAACCTCTCAATGACAAACCTGTTTATATATTCGATAGTAAATGATAGTAAAACAATTTTGAGAAAAGAAGACAGATTATCATTTAATCACATCAAAGTTCTTTTTACACATAATCAAACTTCTCAGTATTAACGACCCTGTTTCGGGCTCTCCTTACTCTACTCATTAGACAGTGGACTGTTCCATTATACCGTAGGTGTTACCCTAATTAACCTTCCAGTTCGGTGTCTGTCAATTGACTGTCTGTCAAATGGGAGATAACCGTTCCACAGGGCTCACATAGAACTGAACTGAACTGAACTGAACTGACTGACTGACTGAGTTTGGTTTTACGCCGCTTTTAGCAATATTCCAGCAATATCACGGCGGGGGACACCAGAAATGGGCTTCACTCATTGTACCCATGTGGGGATTCGAACTCGGGTCTTCGGCGTGACGAGACAACGCTTTAGCCACTAGACTACCCCATCGCCCTGAACTGAACTGAACTGAACTTTATTCACTCAGGCTGCAAACTGCAGCATAAGAAGTGAGGTGAGGTGAAATTGGGTTTGACGTCGTGCTTGAGAATATTTCGCTCATATGACGACGTGCATGCATGTGTATGTGTATGTGCGGCTGCTTGTACTAGCCCAGACTTAAACTGGCTTTATAGTGCTAGCCCACTGAGATACCATGCCGCAGTGAAGCATGAATACCCCACTCAGACACATTATACTGACTCTGAGCCGACCAGTCCTTGTTGTACCCATTAATGCCGAGCGCCAGGCAGGGACAAACAAGTACCATATTTTAACGTCTTTGGTATGACGTGGTCGGGGATCGAACCTGCGACCTTCCGCTCTCCGGGCGGACGCTTGCAGCACAAGAGGTACATAAATAATATTTACATTTATACAACATAAACAGTATATACAAACGGTTTGATAGGTGCAATTTACATCAGGCAAGTTACATATTAAATTATTAAAATTATTTTTAAATAAAGCCATAATTATTTTACGAAAAACTGAAAGTTAATTAAGTGTTAAATAGGATATTCATTTTATGCATATTTGGTCTAATATATTAATACTTCTGAACATATTTTTCTCTTTCTAATTCCAATTTGGGACATGTAAATAAATAATGAAAGAGCTTTCAATTGTTGACATCCATGTTTGCTGACAAATATTTTTTAATTTACTTTTGATAACAGTTTTAAGCCAAGAAGTATTTTCAAAACCCCAGACCTCACATGAAGATGACCCGAAAAGTATAAGAAAAATTGCAATAAACACAGAGATTAACGATTAATTGATCAATTACGGCTTAATTAGTTAACAAGGCACTTCTGGATTCACATCTTAATTAAGGTTACATAATGTATGTAATGACATGTTGATTAGTAATTAACGAGCCAACTAAAGGATAAGTGGTCATTTTTGCATCTTACCTTCATCTTCACTTGTGCCTCCTGAAGTTTACCCGGCTCTATGGGATGGGAGTGTGGTGAAGAGCCCTCAGTAAAGGTGTCCTGGTCACTTATTGTCATGTTATCAAAACACTACCCACTGATCATAAGGTTTTGAAATTCACATCTAAAAGTATTGACTAAGAAAACATTGCGAGAGTAACTAAACAGCTCAAAGTATTACATAAGAAAACCACTCAAAGTACAGGACAAAAGAACCATCTCAAAATATTAGATAAGTAACAATCTCAAAGTTAAAGGTCACATGCAACCAAAAAATCAAACATAATTAAAACACAATTATCACTTATTCATGACATATAATATACATTGCTGGTTATGAAAAAACATATAAACAAAATTATAAGCGTACAATCGCAAATCAAAAGTGCAATATTGTGTACTTGGGTTTACTTCCCAAGAAACGAAGCAGCCGGGATACCGAACCCAGTCAGAGCGGGTGGGTGTGCACTCAAGTGTAAGGGCTGGTTCATTAGCAGATGCCCTCACGGCTCATTCTGTGTGTATATATAGATATGTTGGGTTTTGTAAATACATGCTCATTTTTGGTGTATAACATTTTACAATCAACAGACATCATAAAATGTCATGTGTTCAAGTATCACACCTGCCTGTCTGTGTAATTACATAATGTGACAGAGACCGAACTCGGGCCATAAATCAATGCATTTTGTTTATGGTGTATAGCCTGATTGGTGTTAAGTTCAAATTGCATGTGGTCAGTGATAGCAGCTGTGTATTAAATATTGTCATTAGCAGACAGGCAGGCAGACACACAGGTGTCAATAAAACAAGACATTGAGGTTTTTTTCATCGCGTTATTTTTCAACTTTATAGGTTGAATTTGCATTTTTGACGATTTGTTTCGGTAAGTCCATACCGAAAGGTATCAGAATCTGCAAAGTTGTGTTTTACCAGGGAGACTATAAGGGGGAGTGGTCACTCCTCGGAAAGCTCCTAAGCTATGCCTCCGCTCGTCACGTGACCAGTGCAGCCAATATGGCGGAAGCGTAGTTTTTAAGATTGAGCCCGGTTTATTTTCAACAGCTGATTACATACGCTGAGTGTTGTGACAACTGAAAACCTACATGTAGAAGATTAGTTACCTATTCTGTCACTTCATTTTAAGTCAAATACTTGTTATTAGTGTCAGTATAATACAGTAACTTTGAAAGTAAAGTTTCAAGTGGGCATGTTGTAGCTCACTGGCTTCAATTCTCAGTACACAGCGAAGAAAGACTAACTTATATCGCTAAAAACTTCTTTCACATATTCGTTTAATTTTTAGAAGGGAAATATACCTTTTGTTAAAAGGTGTTTGCAAGTAAATAGTGATATTTTTATAACGCCTGTTAGGGTGTATTTGAGGTGTGTGAAAATATGACATATCGCCGATCTGCCATTGAAATACTACAGGGCGTTGTTTGAGTGTTTCTAGTTAGTGTTCAAAAACATCTTTCACATACACCTTCAATTTTTATGAGGGAATATACCATCAGGTGAAAGGTGTTTGCAAGTAATAGTGATAGTTTTATAATTTTAAAAATTGTTAGTGTATTTGAGGTGTGTAAAAAATATGACATATCGCCGATCTGCCATTGAAATACTACAGGGCGTTGTTTGAGTGTTTCTAGTTAGTGTTCAAAAACATCTTTCACATACACCTTCAATTTTTATGAGGGGAATATACCATCAGGTGAAAGGTGTTTGCAAGTAATAGTAATAGTTTTATAATTTTTAAAAAAATGTTAGTGTGTATTTGAGGTGTGTGAAAAATATGACATATCGCCGATCTGCCATTGAAATACTACAGGGCGTTGTTTGAGTGTTTCTAGTTATTGTTCTAAAACATCTTTCACATACACCTTTAATTTTTATGAGGGGAATATACCATCAGGTGAAAGTTTTTTGCAAGTAATAGTGATAGTTTTATTTTTTTTTTTTTTGTTAGTGTGTATTTGAAGTGTGTTAAAAAATATGACATATCGCCGATCTGTTCTGATACGCCATTGGTGCTTGTGATGCTTGAGTGTTATAGTTCTAAAACTTCTTTCTTTCTTGTTGATCTTAGTATGTGACAAAACTGGAAAGGTGTTTGCAAGGCTTTGTGATAGTTCTAAACTTTCTGTTCTTGAGGGGTCTGTGACAGTGTCAGTTAACATTCTGTCAATGCCCATGTCATTCCACACATGCAATAAGATATCTGAATTAGTTACTAATGTAAAAAAATGTCTCAAAGTAGATTTTTTATAAAAAGGACAGCTGATGTTAACATGTGTTCTACCGATAGTTTTGCGTTCTTTAACATGTTTGGGGAGGGATGGCCGTGGTGTATCATTTATTCTTTCATTCACATATGTTCTTTTTCTTTTGTTCTTTTTCTTAATTTCTTTCATTCATTCACATAAAATTCTTGCTCTTAATTCATTCATTCATTCATTCATTGTAAAATTCCGACCTATACAATACACTGGCTGAAGTACTGTTAAACGCAGCCGAAGTTGCGCTGGGACCGAACCAAGTCACTGTGTGCGTTGGAGCATGACGAGGCACACGTTAATTAGTACAAATGGTAAAGAAAGCAAGCGAGTGACCTATCCCTGTTGTAGAGTATCCCTGGTTTTACGTTGCATGTGCCCTTTAAGAAACCAATTCAAGAACAAGACTCATTAATTTGAAAAAATGTATGTCCATTTTGACTTTTTCCATGGCCATTTTGACTTTTTGGTATGGCCATTTTGACTAGGGGTTGTGGCGATTTTTACTTTTGTTTTGTGTGTTGCCATTTTGACTAGGGTCAGTGTGGCCATTTATATTGTGTGGCCATTTTTACCTGTTCCCCTGCTGCACTAAACTCGAACTCAACACTATCGCCCGGCGATCAGGTTTGCAAAGGGACACAACTCCGTTGAACAATCTTGGGGTTCAAAGTTCATCATGGCGGTGTCCAGAGGTAAGCTCGCACGAAACTAATGCTCTTGACATTCGAGCATTTCATTGATGACATGCCACTTATACAGATGCTTTCTTTTAACTTCCAGTACTCTATTTGAAGTGTTACAACCTTTCTTTGAATTAAATTAAATAGTTTGATTGCTGTCACCTGTAAATAAAAATTGAAGACTGACGTTCCTGCAGGTTGGACTTTGCACTTCGGCTGTCAGTCGACAATGTCAGTATGAGTACAACCCTATCGACAGCACTTCGTGCACGCTCTATTTGCTCTGTACTCTTTGTCCTCTGTTATAGGCAAAAAATTCGTAAAATGTAGTGTGGACATTTTGTCACACTTGGTCACCTAGTCCAGCATATAACTAGACGACTTTGCATTATACCAAGGAAGGTGTGCTCGATGTAGGCCTTGGCTGGAATACGAGTTTATTCATATGAACTATTGTTCACCAAGTCCTTTTCCTTTGGATGCAATGATTGGGTTAGGGAATATTAGGAACCACTACTGGCTGCCGAACAGTTATCGCCATATTTTAGTGGCATTTACAAAATTATTCCGTCGTTCGTTGAATTAATGAAACAGAATTAATTATGATACTTAATTAGCTATTGACCGGTGTGTCCAGCCCATTCACTGCTGTCGATCATGTTTTTATATAATGCGGCGTAAGTGAATCATGGCAGTACAAATGGGTCTTTTCTCACAACTAACTGTAACAGTTATCGCCATTTCAGAATTTGTCATGTCACTTGCTCCCATATAAAGCTGACATACATGATATTAATTAAATACTTTTCAGTATGATTGATATATTTAGGTGATTTCCTGGTGACAAATATCTGATGCAATGTATTTGTTTTTGTTGATATCTTGAAAACAGGACGACAAACATTTTGGGAGGTTTGGAGGTACTAATGGGTGACATGTCCCCATCCTACAATACTAGTGTCTATATGTTACATTTACAGGTGTGTCAGGTGTGTTCATTGTTGCTGCAAGGAGAACAGCATTTGGAACATATGGAGGGAAACTGAAGGACTTCACAGCGACCGACCTTGGCACAATAGCAGCTCAGGGAGCTCTGGCAGCCGGAGGAGTCAAACCTGAACTTATCAACTCCATTACTTTTGGAAATGTTATTCAGGTAAAATAATAAAGAAAACCATATTTTATAGGCTGTTTCAGCAACCAAGCCGATGATGGGTTGTTCATCTCAAAGGATTATTAATAGCGGTGCATCAGTACAGATCGCCATGATATGATAAATCTCCACTCGTACCTTGGATGCATCTACGACCGATAATTTTATTACCTCCCTTTACTGGCTCTGCATTCTCACAGTAGCCAATCAGATAAGCTGTTACAATGAGGTTGCCCATGTCAACAAAGCTTTCAACAAAGCTTTCAACAAGCCTAGACGGTTTGCTCGCTGTGAGACTCAGATTTAGGGCAAAAATCATGCAGACAAATTGACAGGCCTGAAACCTTCAAAAAATATATGCAAGAACTCCTACCCCTTTCGGAGTGTTGCTAATTTTAATCGGTTAGATAAAACAAGTGAAACTGAGTTATGATAGAAGCCTTGTGATTGGTACGCTCAACTTCCCAGCGTAGACCCCTGATGGGATAAAGATCCAGCAAAGGGAGGTAATAAAATTATTGCTGTAGATGCATCCAGGGTATAGTGGAGTTTTTTCCGAATGTATACCCTGGAGATTATCGAGGATGGATATGATCAGTATCTCAAAATTCTGGTTATGATCAATATCAAGCTCTTCTGGTTAGAATATGGTGAATATCTTGATACATATCTTGATACACATTATACATGATATGATCAATATTTTGATACACTTGTTATGATGTGATCAATATTTATAAAAATTCACTCAGTATCCTTCTTTCCTTACTTGGATTACTTGATGACGTACACGATATACTGTAATACATAATGTACTCTGAATTAATGAAGACCGCCTCCGTGGTGTAGTGGTTAGAGGTTCGCCCGGAGAGCGGAAGGTCGCGGGTTGGATCCCTGACCGCGTCATACCAAAAGACTTTAAAATATGGTACTTGTTGGTCCCTGCCTGATGCTCGGCATTAATGGGTACAAGGACTGGTCGGCTCAGAGTCAGTATAATGTGTCTGAGTGGGGTATTCATGCTTCACTGCGGCATGGTATCTGAGTGGGCTAGCACTATAAAACCAGCTTCAGTCTGGTCTAGTACAAGCAGCCGCACATACACATACACACCGTTACACGTCGTCTTATGAGCGAAATATTCTCAAGCACGACGTTAAACCCAATTTCACCTCACCTCACCTGAATTAATGACACTTTGTGATTTGGTTAGTCTTCAGCAGATGCAGCATATATCGCCCGTCACATTGGTCTGCGAGTTGGTGTTCCCACTGAAGTGCCTGCCTTGACTGTCAACAGACTCTGTGGATCTGGTTTCCAGGCTGTCGTTAATGGAGCTCAGGTACAGTGGCACCTGTATGATTTCATTCCTTAGGGGAGACAATTATGATATCCTTCTGGCTCCATTCCACTAAATGATCTTAAGCTAATGCGATCGTAACTCCCCCAAAATTGCTTTGTGGAATAGGGTTCTGACCTGGTTATAATTAAAGATGTTCAGCTTGTGGTCTGTATTATGTATGTTTTTCAGAAAATATATTTCAAAGATATTAAGCATTAAGATTAAGTTTTCAGGTAAAAGGTGGTGGTGTTATAAGTCCCCATGGTTCCTATTATGGTGATCTACCTTCAGTTGTTGGTGATCTTTTGCCCACTTTTACATTGTATTGTCCAGAAATAATTTTCTACTTTTAAAGATATATGCTAGCTAGTTTTAACTCAATCTGTGATAATCTAGATGTTTTACTGTCCTTCGTTGACAGGGTTTTATATATTATATGTATGTATTATGCATTTAGAACTAGTTTTAGTCACGATATGGCTGAAATATTGCCGATGTGACTTTAAATCTTAACTCACTCACTCACTCATTTAGTGCTTCATTTTCGTCCGACAACCACTGTTTTGTGAAGCCGCAGTGTGTTTTGGGTCGTTAACATGCTGGAAAATCCAATTATCTTCATACAGTGTACTGGCCATTGGAAGGAGGTGATCATTTAAAATGTCAACATATCGTTCCTTCGTCAAATTTCCAGTGAAAATACTCAACGGTGTCACTGGACGTGATGATATCCCACCCCACATGTGAAATTTCTGGCTATGTTTTGGGCCTAGGTTGATAGGCTTCGCAATATATTTTGTCCAAATTTTCACACAGTTTGGAAAAAGCCAGACAGAACTTTCATCAGAAAAGTAAACATCATCCCAATCTTGAATTTCATGGGCCAACACCTGTTTAAAAGGGAATTCCGTGCTTTTTCACCCAGTTAATCTTTGCAATTCTTGTCTAAGGGTTTCATTACATACCTGAGGACTTCCTCGATTAATCATTTCATTTCTGATATTCTCAACGCTTTTCCATTTTCCCCTACTCACAATCAGACCAAGTCGCTGGCGATCTGTAGGACTAGACTTCCTTGGCCTTCTGTCTTGTGCTCAATCCGAACGCCTCACTGAATGTTCTTCAAAGTTCTGTATTCTGTATACTGTCATCTAACTCTTTTGCATTAGTCACACCCCTTTCAAAATTATTTAGAACCAGCTTTCTTTTCTCTTCTGCTGTCAAATCTGCCGTGTCAACAAAGGAAGCTGTCTGCTACACCAGGGGAGATAACTCTTGATGTAGTACGGTTCATTCTTAAGCCAACAAGAGTTGCCTCCCATATTGTGTACCTTACTACATAATGTAACACTTATTTTAGAATTCTATTATCAGTGTTAGGAAACAAAGATTTCTCAATAATTTCTGGGGAAACTGTATGTATATATGTGGTTTTAGCTTAGGTCAGTGATGTCACATTGTTTGTCTGTACAGGAGATTGAGCTTGGAGAGAGCAGCATTGTGCTGGTCGGAGGATCTGAGAACATGACTCAGGCTCCATACGCTGTACGTAACATCCGCTTAGGGACTCGACTTGGATCCGACATCAAGGTGAGGAGTACAATCTAATCCTACCAGTGTTCCAGTAGAACTCAGCCAAGCATGTTTGAGTGTCTGTTATCATCAGGCACATAGTTTGAATTTTGGGCACTTTTAGGCCAGTTTTATTACCAACAAACCTGGCCCATGATGTGTTAAAATCAAATTATTGATTATTAATGAATAGCCTTAGGGGGAAATATTCCCCAATTGAAGTATATTTCCTCAAGTTTGCATCATGGCATATTGCAGAAGAAATCAACCATAAATTCAAGTTGGTGTGTCTCATGAGAACCTGTGAAGATTCAGGTTAAAACTGATCTTCAGTAACCCATGCTTGTCGTAAGAAGCGACTAACAAAATAGGGTGGCCAGACTCGCTGACTCGATTGACACATGTCATTGTATCCCAACTGCGTAGATTGATGCACATGCTGTCAATCACTGGATTGTCTGGTCCAGATTCGATTATTAAGAGACTGCCGCCTTATAGCTTGAATATTGCTGAGTGCGGCGTAAAACTAAACTCACACACTCACTGTCTCATGAGAAGATTCTGTTTTTCTCAGTTGGAGGACACGCTGTGGGCAGGCCTGACTGACATGCACATCAAGACACCCATGGGCATCACCGCTGAGAACCTGGCAGTCAAGTACAACATCTCAAGGGAGGAATGTGACAACTTCGCTCTCGCCTCACAAACACGCTGGCAGAAGGGTGGGTGCTGGAATTTCATGAGGAGGTGTCATTTTGAGCATTTGTAGTGTGTAATTTCAAATTTATGAAATGCTTTGAAAAATAGTTTTGAGAGCTCTTCTGACATGCTCACATCCCTTAGAACTAGCCCTTTTGAAATCATGTGATTAGGTGAACATAGAGATTTTTTCTGGGTTACATCTTCTTTTTATTCTTTTTATTGATTAGGGCCGTTCATAATTTATGGCTGGAGGGGGTGATCATGATTTATGGGGCAGTCACCCATTTTGTTTTGGGAAGGTAGGGGGATCTTCAGTTTTGGACACATGTACAAGGGGCTGTCATATATTTTGTACATGACATGGCAGGGGTGGGTGGGTTGTCACTAACTTTGTGCATGAATTTTTAATGGGTGGGGCACATTATACAAAAATTGTATCATTGTACAAAAATCACCACCACACATCCCTAGCCATAAATTATGAATGGTCCCTTAGGTATTATAGAATTTACCGTGAAACCTTACCAAATGCCATTTTCAACAAATTTACATCAACATACCTGATCATAGTCATAATTTCTGAAGGTTTTTTTAACCTGACTTAGGTAATGGTAAAGACAGGTTCCAGGTCCCCTTGTTTATACAGGTGTAATGAAATGTCATCTGCCGGAGCCGTGTAAGTGGCGCTACTCAGCTTTACAACTGATGTGATGATTCTTTCAGCTTTTGAAGAAGGAGCATTCAAGGCTGAAGTTGTTCCAATGAAAGTTAAAGGAAAGAAAGGTGATTACTTGGTGACAGATCATTGCAAACACTTGTTGCAGTTTTCAGTGTATAAAGGAATGCACTTCACAAGGGTGCACAGATCATATTACCTACGCCATATTGTTTAAAATAGTTCAGGTTTCATTACTGATGTTTCACAATAATAAAGGTATGCTGAGGTAGCATTTTGGTGAAATATATCACTCTAAGTTTTCCTAGTGAGTGAATTTACAATGGCTTAAGACCATTCTGGTGTCACCACCCTGATATTGGTTGAATATTGTGCCTAGTGGCTGCAAGAGTTGTATGATCCCCAGGGAGTTGAGATTGATAATAAGATGTACCGTTGAGATTGACATCCAATGATCGAGGGGAAAAAGTACCAGATCCTTGAGCATGTAATCGTTGCGTGGATATGTGCGCTATGTGAATATCCTATAATAATAGAAATATTGCTGAAGCTGTGTGAAACTACCCTTCTCACAATGAGTCACTGTGTCTGACACGCTCATGATAGGAAAATATTAAACTACAGATTGGAGAAAAAATGTTTGTTATTTCAAGCACACTTAAATGTTTGTTTTTGTAACTGAGACAAGTACCATACTGATTCTAGACAAATTGACAATTTATCTAAAACTTTGCCTTTTGTTTGAAATTTAGTCTGAAAAATCTTAGACAGTGTTTGTCTGTGAGATTACTTTTCTTCTCACCTTTACAGGTGAGGAGGTGTTTGAGCGAGATGAACACCCCCGGCTTGTGAGTCCAGAAGCACTGGCTAAACTACCTCCTGTTTTCAAGAAAAATGGCACAGTTACTGCAGGAAATGCATCTGTGAGTTAAATGAAGCAAATTCATTGTACTTTCTTTAGAATTCAATGAATGAAAGATTGGTTCTCCTCATATCATAAACTGGCAGTGGGGTGGCCGAGTGGTTAAAGTGTTCATTCGTCAAATCAAACTCCTGGGTTTGATTCCACACATAGGTACCAAAGTATGAAGCCTGTTTGTGGTATCCCTTGCTGTGATATTGCTGAAAAATTGCTAAAGCAATCAAAACAGCGGGGAAAAACTTACTCCCTCACTCCTTATATCCTAACAATCAAAACTGAAGATGGCTAGTCTTAATAATTTTATGTACTGAAATGGAATTTTGGCTTTTGCACTGAACTATCTCCGGAAATGTTACTGAAAATGCATTTGGGCCCAGAAAACATCTCCTTTGCCAGTTAGACAATGTAGCAATTCGCATGCATGTTTCTTTGAGGACATCATTCACATCATAGTTTGTTGTGATTGTCTCTGTCTTTATTTTACTAAAAAGTGATGTTCACGTAAACTAGCAGTCAATGGAAAACGAGGCGGTAATCAGTTCGTGATTGTTGAATGGGGTAAAATAAGCAAACCAGTTTGTTGCTACAATAAATATGATATTTAGAGAAGCTATATTATGCATTTTCTGTCAACTACACTTCGTTTCGATCCTTACAGGGTGTATGTGATGGAGCTGCAGCCCTCATCCTGGCAAGTGAGGCAGCTGTGAAGCAACACAACCTCACTCCACTGGCTCGGCTTGTGTCCTACGGGATCTCAGGTATGCAGTTGATCTCTTTACTTTACAGGATAACAGCCAGTGTTGCACTGGACTGATCTCGGGTACACTGGCAATGTCTTCTTCTCTCAGTTTTGGATTACTAGTACACCTTCAGCAGAACTCAGATATAGGTGGTGTGACCTGTTTGACTGCATCTTTGTACATTGATGGTGTTGGATGTTTCTCGTGCTATCAAGCTGTCTATTTAGTGCAGTCACTTTGGCTGCTGTTGTATTATGTAGCTTTAACATTGCGGACTGCATTGTTTAGTTCAAATCTTAAAATCTTTCAGTTCACATGATTTCATTTTCAACAAACATTTAGCCTTTTCCTTCCATCATTCCACTTTTAATAGTATTTCAGTTATGTCAACTTTACTTTTGAAAATCGCAAAGTGAAGTAGGTTGCAGTTATTCATTCACTGAAGGACACCACAATTCCAGGGTATGGCACTCAAAGGATCAGAATAAGGGCAAATCTGGTCTTTCAACCTATACGTCACTTACTCGCCATTAATATAACATTGCCATAGGAATACGCTTTTAAAGCCAGTTCCAAGAATGCAATGTCAAGGATGTATGTCGTAGGTTTTCAGCAAAGTTGCAGTATGCAGTGTTTCTCACATAAAACAAGGAAATGTGCAGTTGCATCCCTTGTGTTAAGATTTCCTAAAGATGTGGGTTTTATCATTTACACTGATCAAACATCATGGTTTCACAGCATCAAGTCTGTACACATGGGTTTCCTCAATGTAGTAAACATCTTAGACCAGCATCACTTGGGTCTTTCGTCCACATCAGACTGACCCACTCTGACGTGACTAGAAAGGTTTTAAAGAATGTGATAAACTAGTGGTGGTCCGATTAATTGAAATAATCGAAGATTGGTCGCAATGACTAAACACAAGCAATCGATCATGTTTTCTCATAATCAAACACTTGTTTGCATTAACAATATTTTTCACAAGGTTGGTTTTGTCTGTTACATTTCATAAGCACTACTAGGTCATGATTGAAATTATCTTGAAGACTCCAGGTAATTTATGTTCCTAACATATCAGTCATCCTGTAAAGATGTGAAATTTGCAAATGCAGAAATTGCCAGAAAAACCCAGAAAGAACTACATGTTTTTCTTTGTTTGGTGCATTAAGAAACAACCAGGAAAATTTGATAAATGACGCTAACCAATTATTTTCGATGATTGATCGGTTCTAATGAACCAATCATCAATTATGAGATTTTGACCAATTCCCAACAGTATGATAAACCCAAGAACTCAAGCTGTGACCAAGGATTATGCATGGCGTAAGTTTGAATCTGAGGGTCAAAAGTTATGTTGCAGGTTGTGACCCCAATATTATGGGTATTGGTCCTGTTCCATCATCTAAGGCAGCTCTCAAGGCTGCAGGGAAGGAATTGAAAGACATGGATCTCACAGAGGTAAAGTTGAAATTTGTAGACATGACAGTTGCTCATGGGCTTTGTTTGATCACTTGTAATCATACAAAATGGGCGTGGATCAATTCTCATAAAAATCACTAGATTATATGGTCCAAACTGTATTTGTTAACAGGCTATCATCATGTTCCCGCAATATTTAGTGTGGTAATAAGCACAAGAAACACAGATTCCAGAAAATGCTACTGGTTCTTGCCATGGGGAATATAGTAGCATGACATAATATCTTGTGATGCAATACAATATAAGGGTAATGCTATTTTGAGGGCATTATCATTTGCAGAAGCCCGAGGTCTTCCATTAACTGCCCGATGAAGGAGGTCAGTTGAAAAAGACTGAGGCCTCTGCAAATGATAATGCCCTCAAAAATAGCATTACCTTTATTATTGCTAAAATGTATGGAATTTGTGTTGAAAAGAAAAAGGAAACAGTGAACAAACTTCTGACGGGGTGGACTGCTCGAATGCATTTACGTCATCGAACAATTCAAGTGACGTCACAACAGAAAGTGACGATATTCGACCTTGGCCTTTGACAAGACCATAGCCTGCAACATGTCAAACTATGCCAGTGTTCGGTTTTGGTCCAAGAACAATGTTAATAGTGCAATTGTTAAGGTTAGCACCAGCAAGAAAGGCAATATTACCGCTATTTAAAGCGGGAATTCGGGTTGCTTTGACTTGTTTGACCCAGAATATATCCCAGTCCAAAGCCAATGTCGAATGAACCGTAAGCCCACGCACCCACTATGACGTCACTTGACAACAGAACTGATAGTGGCCCATCGTTAAGGTTGAGCGGTCCAATATCATTTACAGCGGCCTGCAAATTTCTGATAATAGGAGGGCCGTTTCATGATAATTCCATGTATTTTAGCTATAATGAATAATACTTGAACATTTACACTTGTCATATGTGTATGAAGATGTATCTCATTATGCAAGGGATTATTTGAGAACAAAATAACACGTGACAAAATGTCTCACAAGCTGTATATGCCATGAATTTACATGCCATGTCAAGTCATTGTCATAGATACATAATATGCTCTTTATTATTGATACATGGCTTGACAATATGACTTGTGGCGTGGTGGCTCAAAACATTGAGAGGCTTGAAACAGATTAATTGTTTGAGCACCAATGCATGAATTAGGCAGTAGTGCCTATACAGTGAAGCCTCGTTAATCCGGACGGTTGCGTTTCTCAGCAAATTCGTCCGGATTGCGAATAGTCCGGACTACTGAATCAAGACCCAAGTTCAAGCAAGAGTTGCTTCCCTTACTATTACAAAACGACACGAATCTGGATAAAACAAATAAGCATTTAATGTAAAGCTTATAAAACGATGAATAGCAAGTACAACAATAATAAAGTCATAGCAAAAGGGGTCTTTCATTGTTGTTTGTGTTCGTTTAACCTTCCTCATTGAATTCATCACATCAATAATTTTACTGAGTGGCATCCACATGTTGATCCGACGTGTCTGATCACGTCCTTCCTCAGCACAGGTGAGGTAATGTCTAACAAGCGATCTATTGTAGTATGCCTTGAATGTCGGAATTATTCCTGCATCCATCGGTTGAATATGAGATGTGATATTTGGTCACATTTCGCAAAGTTAGCGAAGCACACTTGTGACTTGCAGCGTTGTCGAGAAGCAAAATCACTTTAAGACCACGTGACCACATCTGTCTGTCAAAGTACATTAACCAATCACAAAACAGCTCACTTGTCATCCACGCCTTTGTATTGTGGTGTCAATCAAAGCGTAAATGTACAGCATCTTCAGTCGGGAACTTTTAATGTCAATTAAAACAACAACCCTTAATAGACATTTCTCAGAAGTTAACAAGAGTTCATCTCCGGTGTCAACTCCATGACACCGAGTTTCTATTGTTTTTGGCCAGTTAAGTAAACATCGCCGGGGGTGTTGTTATGGTTCGTGAACACGACTTACAGCGTCCGGACTGTGAAGCAATTTACTGTTTATTTTACTGATTGGTTACAGCTACTTACCGTCCTGTTCCTAAACCGAATCTCTTGATTATCGAGGCAAATTAAATAGGCATAGATTGGTAACAAGCTAAAATCGTCCGGGAGCCGAGACATCGGGATTATCGGAGTCCGGACTAACGGGGCTTCACTGTATATCCTTTTGGTTACTGATAGTGTGTGCCTTTTGTGGAAGGTATGGTTTTGTGAGTGTTTTCAAGTATTTGACAGTGAGAGATTTCAAGTGTAGTGTTGACTCAAGCAAACACTACAACATTGGTTGCTCAAATTGGGATAGTAGGGTCACCCTAATTACAGTCTTGCCATGTCTTACCAAAAGGCTGTTAACCTGTATGGCACTGAGATGATTAAAACAAGGTCTTGACAGTACAGAGTCAGTATATTGTGTCAGACCAGGGTACTGCTATTAAACTTTGGAATATTATCTCAGCTTGCAAGTGCTCTTGAAACCAGATTGCAGTCCAGATTTGTGCAGGCAGCCACACACACACACGTTTCACATTTGCGAAAAATTGAGTTAGGCACTCAGCATGTTGTTGGTCAAAATATTAATGTGCTGTCTTATCCCCAAGGTAAAGGTATTCTCAGTCAAATGTTTCGCTCAAACAAATTTAAAACAGCCCTTGTGAAATGAAAAACTTTGGAATTGTGTTTCCAAATGTGGGCACACCATAATTTTGTATGAAGTTGTATGAAACCGTGTTTGTTTCAGGTGAATGAAGCCTTTGCTGCCCAGTCCTTAGCTGTGATAAAAGAGCTGGGTTTGAACCCAGAGATCACCAATGCTTGTGGTGGAGCTATATCCTTGGGACACCCTCTTGGATCCTCTGGAGCCAGGATAACAGCTCACCTTGCACATGAGTTGGGGTAAGCTGTGTTACTGTCTTTCATCCCCAATCAGCGATCAGTGAAACTGCCCTTTCTTGAATCGAGATCTACATTCTAGAGTTTGGCCTTGTTCGAGCCAGTTTCAGTATATTTATTTGAATGAAGTAATAAATGAAGATGTCAGGGAGAAATATTTTATGTTTCAATATGACATGCATGACAAATGATCGTGATATCACAGCTTGTTTCAATAAACAGGTGATTGGATGCCTATTTTGATCTTGTTTTATTCAAGACAAGCTCAAATGGCTTTAAATGTGTAGATTACATTTGTCATAACAATATGACTGAGGAATTGTACAATAAAGCATTATGTCTCTCACAAAGAATTTAAGATGTACATTTGATGACGTGGAAGTGTTTGTTAAAAAGTATGCTTTTTGAATGGCCCTTATTTAAATGCATGCATTGATTGTGGCATAATGTCATTGTAGTTATGATTATGTACTGTTGTTTTATTGATGTAAGATTACCATAATGTTCAGTGGGCCAGATAGGAAATTCCAAAACAGTGATTTAAGGATGTACCAGTATCCGATTTTCCATACATAGTTTAAGGTAGAGAATAAAACCAGTAGAGATCAGTAGGTGATCTGGAACATATGGAAGAAACTGTCATGTGTCTACACTTTGATGTTCATGACATATTATTCACAGCAATCTTCATCACATTAAGGCAGTATCAGTTGTAAATTAGAGTACCAAATAGGGAATCATGGTTGTGCCAAGTATGCTAGGGTAAACAGAAGTCTTTTCATTTGCTTTCAGGAGGAAAAACGCAAGATTTGCTTTAGGAAGTGCCTGTATTGGAGGTGGGCAGGGAATTACTGTCATCTTGGAGAAGGCATAACAGAATCATGATACATGCGTGTTTTAAGTGGACATATGAATGAGACAATATTAATGATATCAAACCTTGATACCATCTAATTATTTGTGAATGCTGTGTTATGAGCATGTGTTGTCATCAATAAGACTTGTCCTTGGTGTTGACATGTACATGGATCTGTTATTTGTTAATAAGTAAACATTGTAAAGAACCACAACATCCCATGAGCGTCTGAATAGTTGTCTAAGTGATCATCTTGGCAGTGTGAAACAAATCTTACCTCATGCCAGCTGCAACACTATAATTATCTATGGTCTACATTTTCTATATCACTGTTTATTAAATTGTTTTGATATCCCGTTTTTGTTCTTTTTTCTAGTTTTATTAAGCAGAATAATGACTCTCCTTTTCAGGCTTAGTATAAGGAAAGGGGTGATGGGGTAGCCTACTGGTTATAGCATTCGCTCATCACGCTGAAGACCTGGGTTCGATCACGCATATCGGTACAATGTGTGAAGCCCATTTCTGGTATCACCCACCGTGATATTGCTGGAATATTGCTAAAAAGCTGTGTAAAACCATACTCACTCACTAGTATAAGGAAATGCATTTGAGTAATATGTCAGATTTATTCAGACAAAAAAAGTATATGTACAATGAAAATAAACCATACACAGCACAAAAAGAAAATGAAAGAAAAATATTGTATCATTAGATCATGAAAGTATGATGTGTCATTAATAATATTCTTCAGTAATGCATCACATTACATGTTTCACAAGAAATCCATTGAAAAATTATTATAGGTCCATTTTACTTGGTAATTTTGTATAACATGCAAAGCTACAAAAAATATTCATGTTTCTCAGGCACTGCCACATAAAATAAAATACGAAAAGATACACATGATGACCTTCCTCCTAGCATAGATACGGGAAAGTGAAACTACTGACACCCAAGTATTATACATATGCATGCACATACCAAATAAGAGAATACCTATGTATAAAATGATGAATTGTCTAGACTAAGAAGTGGATGGATAAAAGAAAGGAATCTAGAAACCGAACATCATCACACATCTTAGTGAGAATGGCTTTTTATATATTCATTTTCATTTCAAGACTTGTATGACAGCTTATGTTTACATCGTCAGTATTGTTCCACTCAAAGTGCTGCAAAGACAAGCATTTGATACTGTAGTTCAGTCTCTGCTCCAGAAGAAAATATTAAAGATGACATCCATTTATAATTACCGTATATACAGTGTAAGTAGTGATCAAGGTTAAATGGCCACATTTAATTGAATCCATGTGAATATCAAGGTATGATATAGTGCTTGATATGCCGGTAGCTAACATATGTTTTGGATTGACTGATCCAGATCTAATGATCAGGGAAGACTGGCATGCCATAGGGATGAATGCTGAATGTTGGGGAGAACAGATTAGGCAGATCGTCAAAACTGAGGGAAGTCCAGGCAAGCAGTGAGTCGTCATTTGGGGAAGTGCAGCATGAGTTGGTGTTGCCGTCAGAGGTGTTGCCAGTCACAGGACTTACCTTCTTCGGAGTCAACTTCAACGGCATTTCATCAAAACCTGTCATTGGTGACATCAGGCATTTAACAAATGTTGAATATCATGCTTAAAAATGCTTTATAAGACTCTTGAAAGAAATTGTTTTAAGTTTATGATAACTTTGGTTGAGTGATGTGACAATAATTTTCACGTTTCATTCAAGTTGACTCAAGCAAGCACCACATTATGGTATATCAATAATCTGAAACTGATTACATGTTGATGACAGATCAGTATTAAGGTACATTATTCCCCAGTATTTTCTCATCCAAACTTGTTAATTGTCCATAAATCCCTTGGACAGATCACTGAGGTTTACTTACCTTCATCAGTGTCAAAGTAGGCTGGGAATGCTACAGCCTTGGGTGTGTTAGCTGATCTGTCTGGTACGCATGCTACTAAGATTGGGTCTGGGTCTCGAACAGGGGAAGGGACATTCAGAACCTGGAGAGACTGAAACTCTCCTTTGGCTTCTGCAACACATTCTGGGAAGCTGATACCGTATTCCTTGGCTATCTGAATTACATCCTGTTGGAGAAGAAAGATCATTTCAATACATGGTACGTGGAGCAAATAGCTAATTTCACTACATGGTACGTGCAGAATGACAATTTTTCTGGATATACAACTTCTTTTATTCTGTGAGAGGCGACGTTTTGACTGATTGTAATGTCGTCAAGCAAGTGATGACACTTGTGATGACACTTGCTTGACAATGACATTAGAATCTTATGTTGAAACGTCGCCTTTCACAGAAAAAAAGAAGTTGTGTATCATAGGTGGATCTACAGGTGTGTGTGTGCACCCCTTGTCCTGAAAGTTTATGAAAAAAATGACCATTGAAACTCTCGTGAAAGCAAACTGTGCACCCCCTTTCTGAACTTTGCACCCCTCCTTTCTCAAAAAGCTGTATCCGCCCCTGAATATCCATAAAAATTGTCATCATTCTTCATCACCTCAACTTCTAAAATGCCCATCAAAGAAGAAATACATGGTACGTGTTTCAAAGTATGCGAGTTTACAAAGCAGATTTCTTGTGGCAGCAAGGACTGGTTGTAGATTTGAAACCCATATTCACCCAGATTATGACACATGGCTTGTCAGCACAATACTGAAGTTTACAGAGTTAACTGACGTTGCAAGCATCTGCAACAAAGGCTCTGCTTTTACTCATCTCATTCAGTTATTAAAGTGGCAGTGACACCTTCAATTTAGTCAATTTTTGAGAAAGTCATCTAGTCTCAGCTACATTACTACACATGAACATTTCACATTAAATATGTATATGAAAGCTTAAAAACTACCCAGCATCATCAGCCTACTGCTTATCATATATACATGTAGACTGCAGTGACTTCGTATGCCCATCCTACAATAGTCACTAAATTAACAGCTTACAATCTACTGAAAATGATGTCTAGAACCATGTTGTGCTCCTAGATTCAGAATGTTTTTAGTGGACTCTTATATCCAAAATTTGTTACAATAAGAATATACCACACTTCAGAAACTATAGTAACGTTTTTCTAGGACATTATTCTGCTGTTGCCAACTTCACTTCACAATACTAAGAAGTGAAATCTGTGGCCAACGATTACCTTGAGGTGTTCATCTTCACCACTTGGTACTTGCAGCATGTCCAAAAAGGGTGTTGTTGACTTTGGTTTGGGTGTTTGAGAAATCATGCAATGGTCTGTTAAATATACAAAGATGAGATCAACTTTGTATAAAACAGAAAATATATCTCAATGTATTGTAAATCTAATAATATACCTGTATTTTTGTATAATATCATTCTTTAAACACTTTTTACAGAAGAAATGACTAACCTGGGTTGTAAGGAACAATCCATTCATTGGGAGCAAGGGAACGGTTTATAGCCCAGAAACAACCTTTTGTGCTAATGGCTTCTGTTGAAAAGCGAATCTTTCGGAACCACTTCTGGTAAAGTGCATGGCGTATAGAACTCTGGAAACAAAACAATACTTGCAATTTTGTTTTGATTGTTCCTTTTGCTAAACTTACTGTTCTAAAATGCATAAGCAGAAAATGTGTACCTGTCTGAATATACTGTGTTTACTATCGAGATCAGGAACTGCACGAGTCAGATGGTAATTGTGAGTTTAATTTGTGCATTACTGATAACAAATACTTTTCATCCAACATATTGGGGCTGTGGGGTAGCCTAGTGGTTAAAGCGTTCGCTCGTCACGCAAAAGACCAGGGTTCAATTCCCCACATAATGTGTGAAGCCCATTTCTCGTGTCCCATTGCTGGAATATTGCTAAAAGCGGCGTAAAACCATACTCACTCACTCACTCATCCAACATATATCATATATCAAGTTCATAAAAGTTTAGTTTTAGAGTTCATTATGTTCAAAGAACTTACCCTCCAACTGTTGATGGCAAGTTTATCAATGTACTGGAAGTAAGGAAACTTGTTTCTGAAACGAAGGCATAGAAAACATGACATCTGTCATCTTAGTCAAAGTATAATATTCTCTGATTTTCTGACATCTGCAAGTAATACGTCATAAAAATTTGGGATTAGATGTGGTTATGATCTCTGACACGAAATTCTTCATGCTTTATGCCATCTGGAAAAGTACATACTGATTCCAACTGTATATATCTTTCACTGTTGATTATCCCCGCAACGCGTTTTGCGGGGGGTATTAAAATGGACTCCATCCGTCCGCCTGTCCGTCCGTCAGTGCACATTTGTCTTTTCCGGAGCAGAACTCTAAAACCGTTCAATATTTCTTCACCAAACTTGGCACATAGATAGATCTGGTGGTTTACTGGTGCCTTTTGGTTGTTTTGGAATTCTGAATAAAATATTTTTGGCGTTTCCATGGCAACAAGTTTCAATTAGCCTGAAATTGGTGGTACGTGCAAATTTGTCTTTTCCGGAGCAGAACTCTAAAACCGTTCAATATTTCTTCACCAAACTTGGCACATAGATAGATCTGGTGGTGTACTGGTGCCTTTTGGTAGTTCACTATTTTTTGGAATTCTTTGAGTTTTAAATATTTTTGGCGTTTCCATGGCAACAAGTTCGACTTTGACTGAAATTGGTGGTAGTGCTCTTTTCCGGAGCAGAACTCTAAAACCGTTCAATATTTCTTCACCAAACTTGGCACATAGATAGATCTGGTGGTGTACTGGTGCCTTTTGGTTGTTTTGGAATTCTGAATAAAATATTTTTGGCGTTTCCATGGCAACAAGTTCGACTTAGACTGAAATTGGTGATAGTGCTCCTTTCTGGAGCAGAACTTTCAAAACCTTTCAATACTCTCCTTCCACTTTTCTATATACACACCTAAATATTTGACATAATCATAACTCGTAGACATAATCATGAAGAGTATTTTGCCATTGCGGGGGATATTGATGACTTTGTCTTCTTGTTAACACTAAAAATATGCCTGGATGGAGGTAAACTCCCAAGTAGTTCATTCCCTATTTAATTTGGACCAAGAAAAGGAAAACCATTTTTAATGCATTTATTGTCAGCTGAAATAAATGGAAAGTATTAAATGCAGCAATTTAAGGTTAATACATACTGTAAAACAGTATAGATCTGTTGGACTTGTAAAAGACCATCTGGACTCTGGTCAATGGCCTCAGCTACAAGCTCCACCAGCTTCTTGGGTGGTTTCAGTAATTTTGTACCTGGAACATGAACCAACATTTACATAATGGAAAGGTACAAAGCTTTATTCCATATCAAGATAAGAAAAAACACGTAAAAATATATATTTTAGGTTTTCTTCCGAACCAGGTTACTACCCAAAAGATACTACCCTGCGTCATAACATTTTATTATACCCACAAATGAAAAAAAAATCTCATTGTTGGTTCCTTTCCTTTTATTTGATGATATACACTAATAACTACACTTTTTCAAACAACCATGCTTAATAACAGATAGGTAAGTGTTGTCAGATGTCTGAAACAATTTGTTTAAAAACTGAAAGATTAAAACTAAATATATCCTGCTTCACATTTTAATGCACTGAATAAAAAAAAATATTGCTTAATGGTACAGTTTCAAAGTATTTTGTTGAAAAGTATGATTTAATGTGGTTGCAGATATGTTTGAAACATTATCCTTTATCAATAATGTATCTGTATCAGATATCAAACAATTACTGTAACAAGATCAAACTGGGCTTGCTTCAAGTATTGAAAGTAGGCAAAGTGAAAGAAAACCAGTTAAATATTTTAATAAAATAGTATACCAGGTGGTAGAAAGTGAAAATCTCCATGGGCAACTTCCTTCCTTGACTGTGTAACAAAGCAGTCAATGTTGCTGTAGGATCTGCGTTTTCTCTTTGCTCTTTCCTTTGTGGATTCTGCTCCTTGCAACATGGACTTGCCACCACTGGTGGACTGTGATTCCTCATTGTTGACATTCTCTGGTAGGATGTAGAATTCACTTTGTGCCAAAGTTGACAGTGCATACTCATCTGCTCTCTGGTTTATTTCTTGTTCCTCAAGCTGAAAGTGAAGCATGATTTGAATTGAATTTAACATACTCACAATACCTAAACACTAGTTAAGCTATACACTTTGCATCACTGAACTAAGTACTTTGTTTCAGCAAACTTATTATTTTCAAATTTTGAAAAATAAACTTCCCCAAATATGCAAAACCAATCCAGTTAAAGAAACATCAATAATTTCTGGGGAAAATTTAAAAATGCATCTTTGGTTTAGATATTTACCCTAGTGAAACATGTATCTGAGGACGTGAACAGCTTTGTTTTGATGTTAAGTCTTCTTCTTTCTGCTATTGAAGGTTCCACCAGTGACAGTGTAAAGGTTGGCTGAAAAAGACTGCCTCTTACTCTGTCTGTCGTTCCTGTCCTTCTTTGTCCTATAATATAAATCCATCCAATATTATCTTAAGAAAAACAAAAACACTTGCAAGAAATCTACAACAGAAATGGAACATTCCTGCACACAAGTTTTCTAAAGAACGAAACAACATTATAGGCTGAGCAATAGTGAACCATGCTTCCAGGTTTTTGTGCACGGGAAGAAACAGAAATGCATGCTGTTACCACATTGGACATAACTCTAGTTTATTGTAAATGTACTTTTATTTAACATTCATGATTAAACCATCTCAGTCTGGAAGACACAGGTTGTCCACTAGTCATGAAATTTCATTGAGAAAAAAGTTCTTCCATCATTGACACTTCCTGCTGGCCATTTTTTCTTCCGATAGGTGTTACGGTTCACCCGGCTGTTTCGCTAATTGGGGTAATTGTAAACTGCAAGAACAATGTTGGTTAGACACGCGCGCGTATTTAAGGCTACTTGTAGAAACAAAATTTCATTTTCATCTGTAGGCTAAACTGACCAACTACAGTGTTACAATCTATCTTGCGGTAAAATAGCAGGTGCACTGTCGTCATGAATCGTATACTACTCGGACAAGCTGACTTTCAACAATAAAGTTAGAATGACTTAAAGCAAGTATCAGTATTGTCTGTCGAAATGTGCGCTGTGTTTGAAATATTCGAAGACAAGCACATCAGATCAAATGTCCAAAGTGCAAAACAAATAATCTCTGTGACTTGTGGATTACATACATACAACAAACGTAAGTCAACAATGATCTTTTCTCGTACCTCTTGTATTTGGCTGCTTGTCCACTCTTTCCTGTTTTGAATATTGATTTGTTGGGGCATCCTTTCGTCCTCTGTGGACATTTTGCATGAAACGTTGACTAGGGTGGTTCGCATAAAACGAATGTGTTTTCGCGTAGTTGATGGTTCTTTCCGATAATTCTGCATTGCCGGTGATAATGCTTTTCCGAACAATATGTTGCTGCTTTCTTCCCCTCCGCCCGAGGTCCATGTTGCTTCCTATGATGTTTACGGATATCTACCCTATCCTGTTCAAAGAAATTATCAAGATTAGGCTATAACAAAATTAAGAATATTAGGCTAATACACATAGGACGGAAAAACGGGGTTTCGAAGAAGATTTTTGAATAAAGACCTTTCAACAAAGTTTAAAAAGATGAAAGGCTAATCAGAACTGGGCATGCAGTTTACATACTAGCCTAGGTCAAAAACACGTTTGGCATTAGGATGTCACTATGTTGACCGAGCGGATTGTTTTGGCGCCTATACCAATCACTTGTAATATGTAAAGCAAGCTAAATGTTATTACCGTGGTTTATGTGATATTTGCTAAATTTTTAACAGACTGTTAAAACTTAAAATAATCTTACTGTTACCCTTCGTCTGTCATGTAGTGGCCATCGTCTGCTAGATGCAAGATGTGCGCATGCTCAAAAAATAACTTTCTCTGATTGGTTGAAAGTTAAGAGGCGGTCTCATTGAAAGTAGGAAATCTTGCTGAAACGAGATTCGTAATCTGAATCGTTCGGAAGAGATTTTTTTTATGAATGTCAACTTCTTTATTATGAGGAACCTCATGATGTTGACATCCATAAAAACACCTCTCTTCCTTATGTGTATCACCTCTAAATGCCATTCAAAGACCTGAGTCGTTCGTTTGAAATCAATTTTTAACTGTTTTTGTTTTTTGTACACACGTACACAGAATAGCATTTTACCATTTAAATTTGATTAATGTTTCAGGCTTCACTAAGATTTACGATTCGTGTACAAGATCAGCTACTCAAAAAGTTCAAACAAACACAACTTTGTTGAAAATATGCTACCACATTCAATGCAGAATACCGAAAAGAAATTAGAAATTATTTTTAATCATTGATAGGCGAAGCTAAGTTTAGTTTTACGCCGCTTTAAATACAGAATATCACCATAATTATGGTCAAATGAGGGCGATACCTTTTCCTGAATTGTTTAACGATTCTCGAAGCTAATTGAATGGAATCACTGGAAATGGATACCTTTTCCTGAATTTTTAACGATTCTCAGATTGAATGGATTCACTGAAATGGTTGCCACAATTTTAAATTAAATTTTCCCCAATCTCATTGAAGTCAAGTCTTTTTCTTTGCATGATTGACTCAGCTAGGATTCGAATCCATAAAAGAACAGATTTTCATAATGCCTATAACCTTCTGTAGCTTATACCGTTGAATCGTTTTAGGCTGCCAACATTACTTCTAGACGTCGTTTGTTATGCTTGTGAATACATTCAGGGCACATACATGCAATGTCTAAGACGTAAAGGAATCAGAATAACGGTGTCCGAAGTACCATTTGAATATAATGTTAGCACTAAGTCTTTATTCATGTGAATGTAGGCCATCGGCCCACGGTACAACGTTATACATTGGCAGCCTTCAAGCTGTAGCGACGACGATTGTTAGCATAGAAGGTAAACAAGGCAAGATGTCTTAAAACTAAAGGAGTAGCATTACTCATCAGTCGATTAAATTTACACAAGGTTGGATGGGTGAAAACATCGACAGGGATAAAACGTTTACGTAGATCATCATAGGCAGTACAAATCAGTAAAAAGTGGTACTCATTTCCTACATAGTTACAGGAACACATTTCACACAATCTTGAGTTTTTTGGTTTCTTTATATATCTACCAGTTTCTATATTCAGTTGGTGTGAACTACACCTGAACCTCGCTAAGGCAATACGAAATTTCTTGATAGTTATGCAATGGAGATTTGGCTCAACACCAAAAGTGAATTTAAATTGAGAATATAGGTAAGTTTTTGAGCCATTAGACAACGAGGAATGCCATTCCTGTAAATGTGTTTTGGGCTCTAGATATGAATTCAGAAATAAAAAGGTTTATATTAGGAATAAATTGATTTTCCCATACGTATCCAAAACCCATTGTATACAATAGGTTTTTTAATTTTGATGTGTGTCACTGAGAGTGTCAGAGGGGCTGCCATTGCAATTGAAAAGGTGCGCTCGTGCATACACCTAATACGGACATGTAGGAGTGTGATTAATGACAGAAAAAAATAAATGGCAAATCATCAATAGCCCGTTCTTTCTTTAGTCCATTCAGAAAAAAAGGTGAGAAATAACTTCCTTCCAAAAGAGCTAAGTCAATCCAATTGTATTTGTTTTCTAGCGTGGGCGGTTGCGTAGCCTAGTGGTGAAAGCGTTCGCTTGTTACACGGAAGACCTGGGTTTGATTCCTGACATGTGTACGATTTGTACATGTGAAGCCCATTTCTGGTGTCACTCGTCGTGATATTGGTGGAATATTGCTAAAGCGGCGTAAAACTAACAGTGTTAACTCACTGTGACCTTACTATTAAAGGGAGTAACGTTTAACATGTCTCTGACAATATTCTAGAAAAATCGCCCAGTCAGTTGGTGCGGGAGGAACGCCTAGTGGTTAAAGTGTTCACTCATCACACCAAACACCTGTGTTTGATTCCCTCTAAATATATTGTTGGAAGCAAATTTCTGGTGTCCCAGACTTGCTTAGCTTCGATATTGCTGAAATATACATGGTCTAGAAGCAGGGGCGTTTTTTCAAGACGAAACCATATCTACCTTACCATAACTACAATTTAATTTTGATTTTCAATACTTTACTTTACATTATTGATAATTGGATTTATGCAAATTTAACAACTTTCCAACCCTGGGATTCCTTAGGACTTTTGGTATGGTGTTCTAGGGACCTCATAGAAATGCACTGTGGTTAAAACATTTCTGTTACAATTTGTTCCAAGTTGAGTGCTAAATTGGCCTAGAATGCCTGGACTATTAGCAATATTCCAACAATAACACCACCTGGCGGGGAACACTAGAAATGGGTTTCACACATTGTACCCACCTCCATGATAAGGGGTGGTGGGGTAGCCTAATGGTTAAAGCATCCGCTTGTTATGTTGAAGACCAGGGTTCAATTCCCCACACAGGTACAATGTGTGAAGCCCATTTCTGGTGTTCCCCTCATAACATGAGGAATGTTGTGTGTGTTCCCATGTGTAGAGTTCAGGTCAGAAATGTTTATGTTAAGCAACATTGAGCACGGAGAGTCCTTGGATGGGTGAGGGTGTTTGGCAGTTTGACTCCCCAGACTTTCTGGGACTTTCAGTCCTGCCCCACAGTGAAGCACATGTGATACATGTGGTCTCACCTTAGACGTGTTTGTTCAAAATTGCCTCTGTTCACCCAGGAGAAAATGGGTACCCGGTGGGATAAGTCATGTGACTATAACCTTCTAGCGCCTCACAGCTTAGGTTATCTGGAGTAATAATGTTGACTTTGTGATGCGCCGTTGAACAGCTTCGAGTTGGATAACAGGCGCAATAGAAATCCATTATTAATAAAGAGGAACCTTGCAGCACTTGAGGGGTATTGGATGGTCCAGCAACCTTAACACGCTCTGTCCACAACATGTAGAACAAACACTGCATAATGATGACAACCTTTATTACACCTCTGTATACTGCCACGCTGAATTTAATCAACAAAGTCAACCAATACCTTGAGCAACTTCAGCTTATCATAATTGAAAGTTGGCTGCTATTACACAACAAAAGTACACAAATCAAGTTTCATAAACACATGATTGATTGACCGACAAGTTTTTAGATCCTGGGATTGTTAGTAACTTCAGTATGGCTGAAATACCACTGCATGCCATACAAACACAAATATGATGAATATTATCAGTGGCAAAAAAATACATTTCATCAAGAATACTTTACGAGAGTGAAGACTTCAGCCAGCTCAACATTCACACATCTCTTCATTAGTCGTACACAACAATCGTTCATCTTGTACCAAGAACTAAAACCATAAAACTAGAAAGAACAGACTTCCCCGCATGAATGGCTTGACTAAAATGGCACTTATAGATAAGGTCAAACTTAATGGATGTACAACTTCTTTACTCAGTTGTTCATCCATAAAATGTGTCCTTTCCAACTTCTAAATATGCCACTGAAAGTAGGCACTCATAGTTCACTGTTAATCACAGATTTTGTGATAGAAAACATGAAAAATGTCGAATGAAAGCATCTGTTTAGTGATCTGTCAATACTGTTGTACACCAGCGCAACCGCCATAAATAAACAGAGTGAGTGAGTGAGTTTAGTTTTGCGCCGCTTTTAGCAATATTCCAGCAATATCAGGACGGGGACACCAGAAATGGTCTTAACTCTCTGTACCCATGTGGGGAATCGAACCCAGGTCTTCAGCGTGACGAGCGAACGCTTTAACCACTAGGCTACCCCACCGCCCCATAAATAAACAGACGGATTAGGAGTTGAGCAACCCTCAGTTGAGCTAAGATGTGAAGAGTAGTTTTTACTTGATTGAATCCCTATTGGTTAAAACAAGCAGAACTTCGCTGACATAGCTGAGAGTGAAGCAGAATGCATTCAAAGCTGCGAGTGTAGCAAAGACGATCTATACAGGGGCGGATTCAGCACCACCTCCCTCACCTGAAAGTACGTATTTTCCCTGAGGAGTATTTCCCCCTAACCTTTGGACTTCATGATATATGTGCACAGTCCCCCCCCTGCTATTCCCCCCATATTCCTATGCTCATTGTAAAATATATCTCTACCCACGATAAAATAATCCTTTATTAACGGAATAAAGTTCACTGCTTTAAACATAAGTAATACTTTGTTTTTAGGTAAATAGTGCCATACTGGTAAGTGTCAAGTCACATTATCTTTAACTCATTTAGTGAGTGAGCAGTTAAGTTTTATGCCACTTTTAGCAATAGTCCACAATTATCACAGCAGGGGACAACAGAAATGGACTTCACATAATGTGCCCATAAGGGGAATCGAACCCGGGTCAGCAGCATGGGGAGCACAAGCCTTAACCACTAGGCTACCCCACTGCCCCTCAGACATGGACCTGGGTTGACAATACTGAACACAAGTACACATAGCTACAGACTCATTCATACCACAGCCAGCTCACTCCCAATGGCACAATTATACACACAGAGATCAAATCTTATTGCACCCATTTGTGAACTATACACATGCATAAAAATAACCCAGTTTCTCTGTCATCTTTCAATATATTACAAGTAAAATGACAAAAAGTTACAATTCTGGTAATAATATACAAAAGATAAATATATCAAATCTCAGCCAAATTTGAATAAAATGGACAAGATACAATCTGATATGTTATACACAATGTTGGTTGTATATGTTTTTAAAGAAATGATATTTTGTCTGAAGGCACTTGGCAAGTGAAACTTTCTCCTTCAGACAAATTAAAAAGCATGCAAGGGAGGGCACCCACCATATCCATGGTAACGAATTAGTGTTTTACTGAGCCCATGAATTAGTATTTTCACCAGTCGATGTTGCAGCCTGATGCATGTTGAATGTGTAGTGTTAAAACTACAAGTATTTGGAAACAAGTTGGGTGAAACATCTATTATAAAAATAAAAACCAATATGGAATGTGAAATATATATTAATTTCCTTTTTTTTAACTTTTATACCTTTGATAAGATAAAATCTGAGAATTTGAAAAATTCTCATTTTCTTGTAATTCTTATTTTACAATTTTCAGTAATGCTAAATTAAATAAAAAAAATCCATTTTCAGTGTTAAAAGATTTACATAAAAGAATCTAATACCAAGGGTGAAAATACTTTAGAAACTGAAGTCAAGCTTGACAGAAATATACAAATGTCCGATGATAAACTCTGATGACATTTCACATTACCTTAAGACGTTTAGATGCAATAATTTCCATTTAACAAGGAAACTTTGAAGACAGTTACACTCCAGAATGATTCTGTGATTTCTATTTTGCTCAAAATTGTAAATATATTGAAGATGAATACCATGTAATGTCTATATGTGAACAAAATGTTGAAAATATTCAGCAGGAGTGCTTTTAGAAAAAGCCTACAATTTAAAAAACACGGAAATCATGGAAATAGCTACATTTTTCTGAATGAAATTGTTAAATACTTTACTCCATCATGTGTGATCAATCATCATACTGAGCTAATGAATGAATACCTTGCCTGCCTGTTTCAATAACTTAACTAGACTTGCAGCAATCTAGAATCCAATAAATACTGAATATGTAGACATACACAGAGATGCCAACCCTAATTTAGCCCAATTAGTATTTTGTCCAAAACTGATGCAAACATTAGTAATTTTTTATCAAAATTAGTAACATTTCCAAAGAAATTTCATATTTAATAAAAAATACATAGATATTATTAGAGCTTGTTATCAACATTGTACTCACTTAAATCAGTAGTATGTATAGCTTGATACTGAATAAAATGTTGTTGAAATTTATTGTGTACGGTAAGTATGCTATTTGATAATTTAATTCAATGGATTTTTAAAAAAAAATTCATATATTTTACGTGTTGGGAATTGGTTAAAATCTCATAATTGATGATTGGTTCATTACAACCGATCAATCATCGAAAATAATTGGTTAGTGTCATTTATGAAATTTGTTAATGCACGTAAACATAAGGAAAAGAACATTTAGTTCTTTTGGGGTTTTGGCAAAATTCCACATCTTTAAAGGATGACTTAGTATGTTAGGAACATAAATTTCTTGCAGCTTTTAAGATAAATTCAATCATAACTTGAAACGAGCTTGTAGTGCTTACGAAATGTTGTTAATGTGAAAAATATTGTTAATGAAAACATGTGTTCCAGAATTGTTTCTGTTCGATTCTGAGAAATTATGATCGATTGCTTGGTCGTTTAGTCATTACAACCAATCTTACATAATTTCAATATATCGGAACACCACAAATTTTTACTGCTATCGTAGTTGCGTATTTTGTGTTGTTTTTCGTAAGGAATATGACAATATCGTATGGGTTGGCATCCTGCATACATGATTTTGTGTGTGACAGGCTACATTATTTTATATATGCATTAATCTCTATATACACTTCTCTACTGATCTCATATTGGTTGTTTTTTAGTTAGAGTTAATTAAATTAAATGAAAAACATTTTCCCTTGGCTATATATTTTCAGCAATATTTATATTGAAAATTAACACAAAACAACTGACAAACATATAGAAAGACTTTCAGTGACTAATATTTTCCAACCCTGCATATTTAAAAATCATGAAACAAAAGAAGACAGTCCATCTAAGTGAACAGAATGCAGATGATTATTTTTTTTATGAACTAAAACTGTAGACATGAAATAATATTTTAAAACTAAACGCAACCCCTGGTGATCATGACTGCTGCTATGATAATGCTCACAAGACCTACACGCTCATCAGGGCCTAGATTTTCGAGGCTCTCTTAGCGCTAAGATAGTCGTAAGTTAATGTTAATGAAGGCACTTTCGACTATCTTAGCTAAGAGAGCTTAGAAAATCTAGGCCCTGCATCGTAATCAGGTATAAAGAGAAACCCTCATGACAAAACGTTCCCCAGCTGTGCAGTGGACAAAATGGTGCTGCCTATCACATCTGTTTGAACAAAACAACATGCAAATGAATACAGTACATTCCAACAGTCTTATTCCATACAATATAGAACAAACTTTATGGATAACAACTTCATTTATTTCGTAAGTGCAACATTATCCAAAAAGTTTGTTCTAGGTTGTACTTCCCAACTTCTAAAATGCCACTCAAAGAAGTCCTATTCCTTACAAGTGGAGGTGGTAAAGGCCTCTTGCATGGGCTACTGTTGAATAATACACAACATAGCTTCTGTAACAAATCAGTGATGCATCAATTTATGTTGCAAAGATACTATTGATCCTAAATATTCCTAACTCAAAACCACAAACAATTTTCTTGGAAGACTTTTTCTCCCCACACTACTAATTGTTTTGACTCATTTATAATTAATTAACCTATTATTAATGAACCTTCTGGTAGGATACATGACACAACTTCATTTTCTGAGTTTACATTATCCAGCGACAAGTCAAAATCCACAATCATGAAAAACTTTTATAGGTTAGAAAAAATATAAAGATACACTTCCAAAAATCATATATTTCTAAAAAAGCCATAAGTACTAACTCTTTATGCAATAACTGATCAAATATACAAATGCTGTCTTTTGCCACTGCAACCTACTTCTCAAGTCTTCTTAGAAGTAATGTATGTGTGTGTGTGTGTGTGTGTGTGTGTGTGTGTGTGTGTGTGTGTGTGTGTGTGTGTGTGTGTGTGTGTGTGTGTGTGTGTGTGTGTGTGTGTGTATGTACGTACGCATGCAATCAGTGTTTCTGTTATCTGGTATACACCGGACTTTGACTGGTACAAAGTAAGAATGTCTGGTAATTTCATAAGCTGTCGGTCATTGTGTCAGGCAAATTTTAAAATCATTTTTCTAATTACCTCTTTCAATTCTATTTCTTCTCGAAAAAGATTAGGTTTTCATGATGACATCGAGGTGTTGTCAAAAAAAAAAATAGCAGTTTTGGAAAACCCCAGGCTAAAAATAGTGGCATTGGTGCACTGCGATACCCTCTACAATTCTGATTAGTTCGTTAGGGTGCAAGGTCTCAAGCACAATGAAAAGCGTGATGACTTGACAGGTAAAATTTACAAATGACTAATATTTGAAATGCTAGTCGGTCTCAATGTCCAGCTGTAAAAAGCCAGCAGAAAAACTGAATGTAAGTATGTAGGTCTATGTCTTTGTGTGTGCATGTGCGAGTGTGTATGTGTGTGCATGTGCGTGCGCACACACCCGTGCAAGCGTGCATACTAAACATCCTGGACTTGAGTTACTTAAAAAGCAGTATTACCATTTGTGTTTTACCCCAATACACCAAAAGAATTATGAGAAAAACACGAGGTTCACAAATCTACTAGCCCCTGCTTCCTGCCAATCAGGAGTTCCCACCATGAAATTAAAACTGATGTTCAGAATGCCTATCACATAACACACACAATGATCACACAAAGATAAAATAAACTGAATAATAAATTAGATGGCTTTTAATAAGAAACCAATCACAGTTTGTATCCCCTAAAGACCTAACATGGATTGTCCCACACATTGTGTGGGTGATTCCATGTACACAATGGAGGGATTCTGAGATCATATGTGTTCTGAGGTATGGAGTTGTCAATTAAGAATTTGCTTCCTGATTTAATAGTGTTACCTCAATATGTTAAGAATCAGTACAGGTTTTCCACTACAAACCTGACAAAAAACATGGATACCTCATCAATGACAGTGTTCTTGGGTTTTTTTTCTAAATAGAAAGTAGATAATCTTCAGCCAAAAGGTAAACTGAAGGCTCTATCACATGCTGACTTCTGCTTTGGCATCTATACTAATAAATATAATGGCTATTTGTCTCAGCACTGTGTTGAGGAGATTCAAGACTTGAATATGTGGATCATTAAGATATTAGAAACGTTTCAACTCAAACTGCATGAGTGACATGTCAAAGTGACAAAACATGTCTCATCTAATCCTGTTGTCACGGCTAATGACTGATGCATCGTCATGATGTGGACATGGGCTTCGTTTCGGGGCAATATTTCGCTAGGTCTTCTCCAGCTCGTTTCAACAACTCTGAAGCCACGTCACCTGAAAATGTACATGGTTGAGTTCATTGGATACAAAAGGTCAGTCTGTCTCTTCATAATGATCGCAATGATACGAAGAGTTATAGCTGGCGTAATCTTTAGGCACTGATGTAATATTGTTTGAATTTATCTGGGAACTTAGGACCCGTGAAAATCCGGGGTAGAATGGGTCTTCAGCAACCCATGCTTGCCACAGAAGGCAATTATGCTTGTAGTAAGAGGCGACTAACGGGATCGGGTGGTCAGGCTCGCTGACTTGGTTGACACATGTCATCGGTTCCCAATTGCGCAGATCGATGTTCATGATGTTGATCACTGGATTGTCTGGTCCAGACTCGATTATTTACAGACCGCCGCCATATAGCTGGAATCTTACTGAGTGCGGCGTCAAACTAAACTCACTCACTCACTCGCTCTGAGAACTTAGATCACATTACTTTGTTTCAGGAGTTTAACCTCTGTATCACAATATCACACAGGAAGATGCTTGCGTTAGCTTCATTAGGGTTAGGGCAAGCATAAACTATTATCTTGCCTCACACATACATGTCGTTTTCTGATTGGCTGAGCGCTCTCCTATTATTTTCAATGTACGGGAGAAGGGAGATGGAAGGGAGATAACTCTAAATTTGTTTTTCTTGTCTTATCATCTGGTCCTCCATACTATGATCCGATACCCGTGCTTCAAACAGTTTAAAATTACCACTGAGGTGTTCGGTAAGATAAATACGTTGTTCACTGGTCCCTCAGGGCCCATGGTTACACAAACTGGTTGAAAGCAATCATTTCTAATTGGCTAGCAGGCCAGTAGCTATTTCACACACTGCATGCATGGCAAGTCAAATACAACGCACTTATACTTCTGATTTTGAAATGGTGTAATATACACTGAAACAAGATGTGTTTACTCACTGGCAAGCTGACAATTCCCTTTGGATGGTTTATCTATAATGGCGATCTTTCTCTCTATTCGCGTCTGCATCGTTTTGTTGGTGTTGAGGAGCTGATTGGCTGGATTGGAAGGGATGCTGATTGGCTAATACTGCCGTCTAATTCACATGTTTGCGCAGAAGACTTGTCACTGGTGCGAGCTAAAATCTGCCGTGCACGTTCTAACACTCTGTCCTCTGCCAAACCAGAGTCACTTTGTAAGGGATCGTTGTCACTCGGCTGATCAAAGTCCAAACACACATGTGGACAGTCTTTGGAGGCCACACTGTCTTCCAACTCATTTTGATCTATACTGCACTCAGATTTGAAAGGCAGAGAGCTGAACTGACTGGTGAGATTTGTATGAAGTCCTGTATCGTGAGTGGTCATTTGGAGACTGGCAGTTTGGTATCCTGTGTCCTGATTGGCTGAACTAGGCTGGGGTGCATAGTCGCCTTGCTGTGTCCATGTCGTCCATTGAGACGTCCTGGCCAAAGTTAAAGGTGTAGGTCTTATTGTCTACTTGGAAGTAGAACCCGTCCTGACTGGATGAATCGGTTTCCATGGCAATGGATTTCCTGAAAGCCATAACTGGTCCCTTAGGAGCAGGATCTGCTGCACCAAAGGAGGGAATTCTGTTTAATTGTCTGCAGTCTTCTGCTTGTGGTGTTGATGATTCATCTGATAGGTGCTCGAACTGGGTTCTTTAGAGAAAAAACAACAAATATCTAATGAAATTACATGTGAAATAAATTACATCTAAATCTTAATCTCATTAAAATGAAATCTTTGTTTAGAAGTAGCATGAACTAAGATCTGAATTTAAAAAGAATGTCTGAATCAAACCAAATAAAGTCTGTATACAGAAATATTTCCAAAATATGAAAACATCCCAATCAGATTTCTTCATTTTGAAAGTGAGTGAGTATGGTTTCACGCCACTTTTACCAATATTCCAGCATTGTCATGGTGAGGCACACCAGGAATGAGTTTCACACATTGTACCCATGTGAGGAATCAAAATGGTTCCATTGGTGTAACGAGCGAACGTTTTAACCACTAGGCTACCAGAGCATTCCCCATACTCTAACATATATGTTAAATTTTGCCTAATTGGTTTACACCACCAACAAAATGGTTTGCTGGATATTCTGAATAAACATGTGTTGGGTGGGAAAAACAAAATTGTACACTCTTGCTTTCAGATAACACAAGTTTTTGAAGGGACAGAAAAATATTTTGTTCCTTAAATGCACATAAAAACAGAATCTTTTGACCAATTATATACTGTACCTGGTAAGTAAGATGCACCCAGATTTTCCCCCTCCGAAGCAGACTTGAATGTGATGGGAGACACGTCTGCCACTGGCAACTGTTGGGTGTCCATTGTCTCTTTATGTCTGTGATAGATTGGTGACATGTTTGGCACTGACGCTGACTGACGACAACGTGGAACACTTCCATCAACACTAATCGGTGACATGTCCGGCATAGGCAAGGGAGATAATCGCTGTCTTAGATCACCTCCGTCATTACGATCACAACTAATAGGAGACACGTCCGGCATGGGTAAGGGAGATAACCGCCTCTTTATGTCATACTCATCATCAGGATCACAGCCAATTGGTGACATGTCAGGCATTGGCAAGGGAGACAACCGCCGCTTGGTGTTACAGGTAAATGTAAAACTTTCTTCTTCGTCTGGTACTCCACAACCGGACGACCGACAGAATGCACCTGAAAACAGGGTGTGTTGAGTTGAGAGTTTGGTCTCATGATAATCAATGCTGTTACAGCTAAATGTGGGAGAATGCAAAAAGTGACACATTTCATAAATAATTACATGCTGAGAAATCATGGGTCATAATCATTTCAAAACTTGGATTTGAAAGTTAAGTGGATCCTAGCATAGCTAAGGGACACAACTCTGCATATTGAAATAAGGGCTTTTTGACCACTTGACAACACGTATCATCTGTTACTGAGGTTAGAGAAATAGACAAATAAATTCCATTCATATTGTTATTTATAATTGATGGTAGGGGTGACTATTGAGGGGGAAACAACTATTGTGATAGCGAAAGTCTATTGTGATCAACATTTTTCTCTCCTTGTATTGTCGCATTTGAAGTCATTTCCCAAATGAACGCATAGTTTATATGAAAGAAATACAAGTTGAATTAGTTTCAATCTCTTTTGATAACTGACAAGAAACTTGAAACCCAGATCAAGTAAACAGTTAAAACATGAACTCAATGAAGCTGCAAGTCTGCAACAAACATCCTGCATTTTGCGCTGCGCATTTATCAACAGAAGTCAATTACTAAACTATCGAAAGTCACACATACTATCGATGCATCGATATTTTTTTGTTTCTTCCATCGATTACTTGCTATCAGAGACTCAACAATTGCAATCCATCGATAGTTTGATGCATCGTTACAGTCCAAATTGATAGGTTGCTAAAATCTCCATTACCTGCTGGTGAATGTGGAATACAAAATCATTTCTCTCACCTCCAGCCTTGTCTGAGAACCTCATTTGCACTGTTAAGAATGTAATCCTGCTGATTGGATACATAGTCACTAATCATTCAACTGGTTTCTATCACTCCCGAAATGAGTTCCTACACTAGGAATTTTCATCGCATTATATATAAGGAGAATTTTGGGGGGGTTTGCTAATGTATGAATAAAAAAATGTAAAAAATTCTGTTTTCCTATTCAAATCTTAGTGAACCAAAACAGTGCACATTCAACCCTCAAATTTAAAGTAATTTTTCACAATTTTCAAACATGGCCTTATTACCTCTGTTAGAGCGCTTTTTGTTAATGGGAGATAACTCTGGTGAAGCCAGGAAGTCAGCTTCAGATGATGTTCTCCTGAAGAATGGTTCAGAAGGACCTTTGATAGGACTTGAGGAAAACTGACCCTGCACAGAACAAAACAAGAATTATGGACACTAAATAAGAGGTAAAAATGAAACTGTTTTCATGCGGCCTGAAAAAGTATAAAAATACATCAGAAAGTAATCTTTTCTGTTCTTCTGACTTATCACAGAGTTTTATGCAACGGGAAAATTGTGTGTCCAGTACACACAAATGTAGACAATTCACTGCATCCCTCTGGAAGCACAATGTTATTCGCTGTACCCACAACACATCCATGACTTAGCTACTTTGGTTGTTTCTTTCAGAGCCATTATGTACATCATTTCACCCATCAGTCAACATGATCGATGATTCATCACAGGCTCTAAAGAAATTATCAAAACATACAGTTCTCTACACCGTTGCTTCACACGACCCTCGTTTTACCTGTAAGGACCCTTAAAACTAATAATAAGGGGTACCCAAAGTTTCTGGCTCTGAGTCAAGGTAAAACCCTGTTATCAGATCTTGAAATGTATCATGAGTTGCCTGGTTGTCCAACTATTGACGACATTTGATCATCACGACATCACTAACAAGATGTATACTACATGAGACAAAGATTACCGATGATGATGTCCTGTAGGTCTGTTTGTCCCATTCTGGAGTTGTCTGGGCTAGAGGTGATGCTGGTGGCGAGGATAACTCTTCCAGGAGCCTTGTTTCACTCCTGTAACCATGGTAACACAGCACACTATCATACAGGGTTCATAGCAATACTGAACGTAATGTAATTTTTCAAGTAAAATTGATTTTTAAATTGATCCTGACTCATTATCTCCTTTTCCCTTTTTTCGAATGGTAGTGGAACACTTGAATCGCTTGAAGTTCCCGAAGCGGACGTAAAAATACACTCACCCACAATTTACCTCCCTTTTCCCGCGTAAACAGTCATGTGACCAGCCTTACTTGTCACTCTCTCCTGCTTTTTCTGCCCAAGCACTTGGATCTGCTGTGCAATCCGAAGTGTTTCCAGCGTGGAGGTCGGGAGGGCTTGACCTCATGAGTCAGGATAAGTATAAAAATATCAATTTTACTCGAAAAATTACATATTGTTTCTTATCCTGACTCATGATCTTTTGCTTATAGAATCCGACGGATTGGTGGTGGGTCAGGCCACTTCCTGGACTCAACAGCTGTCCTTAGATACGTCCTGTATCCCCCCATTGGAACTGCGTAGCGGCATTTCCGAGATCCTATTCTTCCAACTACCGTTATAACTCGGGGGGACCACTTCTTGTCTTACTTCCATATCAGACAAGTTGAATCATCTTGATTCATGTGGTTTTCAGATTAATTTAGTATCTACTTATTACTAGATATCTTATAACAATCCATAGATTATGATAAGATCTTTATCATAAATGAGTTGCGACCCCTTCATGTACAGGTAAGATCTTTACCCGTACAGGATCTTTAATCACTCATGCTAGCTTGTCCTAGACTGTGCACATGGACTTTCAAACTAATACTTTTCCTTAGTAAAAGTTATCAACAAGTCAACGTGATAAAGGGTGAGATTTTCCAACTCAGCGCCTTTGTGGAACCGTTAGTAGCTGTGCTACAACAAGAGGCCCAAATTGGTGAATGCCTGAGACGTCTTCAGTGGCGGAGGTAGAGGTTGGCAAACACTGTGTCCGATTTCCAAAAGCAGCCCTCCATAATTGCTGATATAGAGCAATTTCCATGCTCCAATGCTCCGACTTCGTGTGGGTTGGAAGCACTTGGAGGTTCTAGTCCTGCTGCTTTATAGGCTCTCAATATGACGGCTCTCATCTAGAACGATATGGTCGTTCTTGAGACTTCTGCTGATGTCTCTGTGGATAATGGGATGAACAGGCGCTTGAATTTTCGTCTCCTTGTCTTAGTCTTTGAAGATATATCTTCAGGGCTCTGACAGGACACAAGGATAGGTCCTCTACATCCTCTGGTCCGAGGATTATAGATTTATAGATAGTGCTGGTACGTGGAAGTAGTTGGTTCTTGGCAATGAAGTCCCATCTAAGTCCTAGATGAACTGCAGCATGTTGCCCCGTGTAGAATCTGGTTCGACCAAAGTCCAGCGCATGTATCTCTGATATTCGAATTGCCGTGGCTAGAGCAAGCAGGAACAGAGTCTTCTGTGTCAGCAGCTCGAGGGTAGTATGGTCTAGAGGTTCGTAGGCATCACTGAATGAAGCCTTTCCGCCATGCATAAGTCTCAAACTTCAGCCACTTGTCATCATACAGGTTACGAGTAGATCTGCGTAATGCTAGCGTTACTGCCTTGGCGGAGTATCCTCTTTTCTTCAAACATGTTTTGATATGGTCCACAGGTGTAGCTGGAACAGTGTTGGGTTCCTGTGGACTTGCTTGGTGTGCGGATGTATGAGTAGGTTCGGCCAATCTGATAACTTGATTGTTGGACTTCCGAGATCTTCTATTACGTCTAGGAACCATACTCTCGCTGGCCAGTATGGCGCGACCAAGGTCAGTTGTAGCACCTGTGTCTGTTTGATCTTCAACAGTGCTTTTGGTAGTAATATCAGTGGTGGAAATGCATAAGCGTTTAGTCCTTCCCATGATATGTTCAGTGCATCTGTTGCCCAGGCTTGAGGATCTGGAACTGGTGAGACAAACGTCTGTAGTTGTTTGCTGAACCTCGTGGCAAACAGGTCTATGCATGGGGATCCTATTTCCCTTATGATGCGCTGAAATGCTTCTGGATGGAGCATCCATTCCATAGGTGACGGGTGCAGTGGTCGGGAGAGAGCGTCTGCCAGTACGTTCTTGGCTCCGGGTATGTGACACACCTTTATCCAGATGTTTGCCTTCTCCGTGATGTCAAACAACTGGAATGTGAGCTGTAGTAGGCTTGCCGATTTATGGAGAATGCCACTGTAGAGTTGTCCGTGTGGACCATCAGCATTCTGTTGAACAGCGAGCTCGACCATAGTTGTAAGGCGTTGATCACAGCTTTCATCTCCAGCAGATTGATGTGAAAATGCTGATCTGTTTGGACCACTTCCTTGATGCAACTTGATTGTTGAGAAGTGCACCCCAACCTTATATCAATGCATCTACGTAGAGATGTGTGTCGAAGGCCCGGCTCTTGTAAATAGGTCCCTCCGCAGACGTTCGACCTGTGGGTCCACCAAAGTAGGTATCTCTTAAGATTGTTTGGCAGCAAGATAGGGTCGACGCTGTCCAGTTGTGTTGTCAGGAACCGTTGCAGCAGCCTTAGTTGTAATCTTCCTGTGTGAGTCAAGTCCTGCGCTGAGGTTAGTAGACCGAGTAGACATTGCAATGTTCGTAGTGTTAAGGGAGAGATGACTGCTTGTGGAATCATGGCTTGTATCTTGAACCAATGATCTTCTGGGACCACAATTCGATTCTGTGTTGTGATAATTCTTATTCCCAGCAATTGAAGATCTTGTTTGATTCTAACTCCAACTTCATCAGGTTCACTAGCCATCCTAGTTGCGTGAGCAACTTAATTGTGAAGTTCAGCTGCTGTCTGAGTTGATTGGCACTTTGAAGAACCTGTATGCCGTCGTCCAGATAACCGGCACTGCGTAGACCTCGATGCTGCAGATAGGTGCCGATAGGCTTGGTTATTTGTATGAATAATCATAGAGCCGACGATATTCCAAATGGAAGGACGTTCCATTGGAAGTGCTAACCTCTGATTGCAGTGATGATACATCATTCTTCCCCTTATATACGCAGGCGATCTGTGTTGATCAGCATACATCGAAGCGTTGTCTATTTATAGCAAGGCTGGCTCCAGTGTAGCATCGCAGGGGACAGGTACTCATACCGACTTTTATCAGCAACAACTTCCAAAATAAACATCGTTTATCCTGCTGTCAAGGCTAGACATCTATTAGATCCCCATGATGATAACAGGCCATGGTTGTATACTGTTTCCAAGGCTGCTGATGAAGTATTCCCCCGTACCACGGGTTTGTTTACAAATCAGAAAACATGCTGGAGCCTGCTCTGTCAGTGGAAGGCGTTGTCTGACGTGGACCAATCAGCTTCCAAGCATGACGTCACCAGTGTTGTAGCAAGTTGGCCTCCATAAAATCTGATGCAATTAGTTGGTTGAGTAAAAGCGTGCGTAATTCTACGCCGCTCATATAAACCTCTTGAATAAGGGTTGCTCCAAGTGTAAATTCTTGTTCAGTGATATAAATCACGAAACACCATTGTGGATAATATAAGCCAGAATGACGAAGGAGGCTGTCGAGAAGTATGTCTGTATGGACCTTGAAGAAATACCGATGTTGAATGTAGTTGATAGGATATAAAATCCTAATCCCCATGCTGAGTGACGAGTGTTAATAATATCATCCGTACAGCCGTTCAAGAATACTTGAAGGCGTTGTTAACCTTAAGCCCTTTACAAAGGTCGCCTTGAGGTTCTCCAATACTTCAGATATCGGCTTCATAGGTGATATCATATTGGAGTCGAAGTCATCAGCATATATGCAGTACGTCTCTGTTGGGTTGGAGTGAGTGAGTGAACAACAATATCCGCAGGCCATCTGCTACCCGGTATAAGACCTCAGCATACGTATAGATGAAGTGAAGTGATTCCTTTCATCAAGTAGGTTGTTGTCCGAAACTGAACCTATACAGGTATAAGGTTTGTGCAGGTTGTAGAGTTGTGCAGGCTGTAAACTGTAGAGATCGCACATGTTGTAGATCTTTTTGTTGAGTTTTAAACTCTGACAAAACCATCCGTTTTCATCATTGCTTCGTTTTATTCAGCCGTATGGTAATAGAGTCGACGTCAACATCCTGCCTGTTGATGTAAGGGTTTGTTAACCCTAGGCTTCGCGAACCCTGTAGACGTCTACAGCTTTCACAAAGCTGTGCGTAGGTTAGAAGGTACCTTGGATATAGGTTCAATGGGAGGAATAGTCACCGAGTCAAAGTCGTCATTACGCATCTTATAAGTGTAGATTTCATCTATATCCTTAGAAGGAGACACCAAGTTCAAACCATTGGCTGTAACCTCTGAGTCCGGGAAGACGAAGTCTGGTTGTTCATCAGTTATCTCCTGATCGGTAGAGCTATGCCTCCAAGAATCATCCTTCTGCAAACCTGTATCCCTTCTCGACCTCCATCATCCTTTTGCAAACACCTGTTGCTAGATGTATCCTTTCGCGAACCTCTGTGATGTGAGCTTTCTCTTCGCGAACGTCTGTTGCTAGATGTATTCTTTTGCGAACCTCTGTGATGTGAGCTTTCTCTTCGCGAACATCTGTTGCTAGATGTATCCCTTCGCGAACGTCTGTAATGTGAGCCTTCTCTTCACGAACCTTTGTCTCGTGATGAGTGACTTCGCGAACCTCTGTGAGAGATATGAGATCTCGATCTAGAGCGGCTAGGTGTAGGAGATGGATCCTTCGATGTTCTCGAACGTTGAGGGTTCACAGATGTAGAATGATAAGTAGGCATCTCATGTCTTCTATCCTCCTCCAAGATGACAGAGTCGTCCGACTGTGGAGACCTTCGCAAAGGTGTACGTTTGCCAACGTAGTCCTCTGAGGAGTAGGTTCGTGCAGGTCCGTAAGGTTTGCGCACGATGTCAGTAGATGAGAGGCTTCGTCGAGCCTTCGCTTCTTCCTCGAACCTACGTTTCATCATGGCCATCATCTGGTTGGTGAATTGTCTTTCACTCGGATCAAGTTCTGCATTGATTGAAGCTGCTGCGGTGTAGAAGCGTTCGCGAATGCTGATGAGTTGTGTGCCCCGACTTCACTCTGTTGAGAAGTTGGTGGTAGTTCGTCAAACAGCTGGCCTGCTGTGACCGTTGCAGGAGACGATCTAGTAGTAGTAGAAGTCGATTGAGTCGCCGATCTCGTAGGTACTTCGGGTAGAAGTAACAGAGGATCATCAAAAAACGTCTACTTCATGCGGAGGTAATATCTCTTCGCTGAAGAATTTCTGATGCGTTGACTTTACCCTCCAATCTGGTAACAGATGCTTTCTTCTGAGACGTAGAAGAAGACGACGTCTTTTTCTTAGCTTGAGTCGGAGACAACTGCGTTGTAGCCGATCTCTTCTTGGCTTGAGTCGGAGACAACTGCGTTGTACTCAACATAGCACCACTATTATGAATTTCAGCAGTAGCAAGCAACATACGGTATGCAGGCTGATCTCCTGTTTTATAAGCCGTGACTTGAGATGACTTCCTCACCCGATCCATAGCACGTCTATAGATATAAGACAAATATTGATTAAATTGTAGATTTGATAAAACCAAACAATAAGTACAGCGCAAGCTGGAAGAACATGGTTTGATGCACGAAAGGCATTGGGGGTGAGGATCAGCCACGGATAACCTGTGCCTGCAAACACTGCAAGATTTCATGAAATGTAAACAAAGTTACATAACGATGATATTATGACACAAATACAAATAATTTTTACAACATTTTTACATATAATACATAGTAGTTATTGCCAAATCCATACACAGCGTAATTTTCAAAAATAGGACCTAAATAAAAAGGATATAATGCCATCTACGGAACTCCAGTGCTCGCCCAACCATCCACTTGGGCGAAAAGGGAGAGAGTGACAAGTAAGGCTGGTCACATGACTGTTTACGCGGGGAAAGGGAGGTAACTCGTGGGTGAGTGTATTTTTACGTCTGCTTCGGGAACTTCAAGGGATTCAAGTGTTCCACTCACTACCTTTCGAAAAGGAAAGGGAGATAAGCAAAAGATCATGAGTCAGGATAAGAAGAATTTTTTTGTTTCGAGTGAGTAGTGTTAAACAATGCTCTGAAAAATATTTCAGCATGTCCATGATGAGGACAGGCCAAAATGTCACAAACAAGTTTACAGATTTTCTGAAACTCAGGAGCACAATATATATTCATACATTATGAAATGAATGAAATACACTTGTTAAATGGTTTTTGAAAAATATTTCCTAACATGTAAATTTGCCTGAGCCTTGTTCCCTTTCAGACTTATGTCACAACACGGCAGACTAAGGTGGTTCGACAGCTCGAAGTGGTACCAATGATAAATTGTTCATTAGTTTGGATAAGAACCTACTTGACAGGACTTAAAGTCGTAGTTGTTTCCCCTTGGAAGAAGAGTTTCCGTCGCAACGAGGACGTGCTGAGAGCTTCTTGATTTGTCTCCTCGGTTGTTTCAGAGTTCATGTACTCTCCTGGGGGAAAACGCTTTAGTCAGTCATACGCATGATGAGTGAGTGAGTGAGTGAGTTGGGTGTTACGCCAGTCTTAGCAATATTCCAGCAATATCACAGCAAGGAACACCAGAAATGGGCTTCATGCATTGTACTTATGTGGGGAATTGAACCTGGGTCTTCAGCGTGACGAGCAAATGTCTTAACCACTAGGCTCCTCCATCTCCCTGTACGCATGATGAAAGCCATGTTTTAAGGAGTGAGCCAATGAACTTTTACACCCCAGTCAGCAATATTTCAGCTATGTAATGTAATGATACAGAAGCCATGATACGATAAGCATCCCGAAATGCTTCGTATCCTGACACAGTTTGATGATTTCATAAATTGGTATTGTCCTTTTTCGAAGGTCAGTCACAAGCCTGCATTATTTGTTTGCACATTTCAGATAGCAAAAGAATTCATATTGTAAGGGAGACACATATCAGCTTGGGGGTACTATGCTGATTCTGCTATTCATAGCCAAGGCCAGACCAATTTTATTTCTTGTTTTACGGATTTTTGTCCTCAGAAAACCTAAAGGCAGGAGGGACAAAAAAATCAATAAAAAATATCACCAGTCATAGTATTTTTCCTTCTAAATACTCAAAGTATTTTACTTTTGGCAATTTATGAAGTGTATATGGGGCCAAAAACTATCCAAAATTTTTTTTTGTGTAAGTTTACATTTTTGGTCAAGAAAAACATTAGGATTTTATTTTTGAGTGGGTAAAATTAATTTTTATTTTTTTCTTATTCTTGAAAAAATATGACAGGTGGATCCGTAAAACAGGAAATAAATGAGCAAGATACAAATAAAAAACAAGAGCATCTGCATAATTTCCTTTTTGAACAGTTTCTGTTACCATTTACGTTTTTAAGCAATATAACTTTGTTATTATGGGGGTGAAGCGGTACGCTTTTACCATGGCACGGTATGTATTGCGGTACAAGGCCTTTGGTTTGGTCAATTTGGTTTGGTATATGAGATATAAAATAGCAGCTGTCCAGCAAAGAAATGCATAGATTTTGACAAGTTGATTTGATTTCTAGAAATTTTAGAAAAGGTTTACACATTTCACTATTTGTTACGAGGGAGGGGTGCAAAGAGAGGAACAGCCAGTTGTGCGAGAAGGATGGAGACCACACAGCACAGGATAATGAATCAATGACTTTGTCGGCACTTGTGCACGTGCTCCACGTACACCTGTCTGTTCCTCCCTTTGCAGTCCTCCCTCGTAACAAATAGTGAAATGTCAAAATTTTAATGATAGTTTGTTAAACAACTTTTATATTTTTAGGTCAAATTCTGCAAAAAATCAGAGTTGGTCTGATGTTATCATTATGATTAGTGTTTCATTCAGTATTCTATGTTTAGTTGTTTTTTTAGATTGCAATTCATCGGTCCGATTTTGAGCCAAACGGACTAAAAATGATGTGTAATTTTGCGGATTTGCAGGACTCACCCAGCACAGTTTGCATATCGAAGTCCACCGGCAGGGACAATGTTGTTTGGCAAGACACTGGAATAAAAACAACAGCACGTAGAAATACGAATCTCGGATCTGAACACATGAGCACTGGTTTCTCTTTCAGCTAAAGGGGGGCAACTCTGCACGGCAAATTGTTGAAAATTAGAAAACTGTGTCCTCCACGTCAACAATTCAATTTACGGTATTCAAAAGCCATACTGAAACTCGACCCTCCATTATGTGCCAGCAGCAGGGTAAGATGACAGAGATTAGAAGACACTCACCCTCCTGACTTTTCCGGAGTTTATTCAGCTCCTTCTGTATAGAACCTTGTAGATCCTCCGGAAATATCTGTGTTGGTCTGTTGGCTCCTGCATCAAAATTGTCAGTCATGAAAGACAAACGAAGTGCATCTTAAGGAGGATTCATGAATGTGCCAAAAAGTGGAGAAATCATTGCAGAAAAGCCCCCAAATGCCCAATGCTCTCATGAGACTGAAATACATGACTGAATGTTGTTTTGAGTTGCAGTCAACTATTCACCTACATCACTGCAGACTGTAAATCTTTCTGTGTGGACCTCGCCAAACCAGAGGTCAACAGCATGAGCATTGCTTTTTAGTCAGGGAACAGGTAACACAATAAGCCAGATCACACAGGACACTAGGGGTGACTATTGAGGGGGAAACAACTATTGCGATAGCAATAATCTATTGCAACGTACTACTGCAATAGCGATAGTCTATTGCGACCAACTATTGCAATACTATTGCAATAGGTATTTTTATCTCCTTGAATTGTATCATTTGAAGTCATTTCCCAAGTCATTTCATACAGTAAGTTTATATGAAATAAAAACAAGTTGAAGTCTCTTTCAACAACTGACATGAAACTTCGATAGTGTTTCGTTTCTACCATCAATTAATTGCTATCATAGATTTAACAATTGCAATCCATCGATAGTTCGATGCATGTTACAGCCCTACAGGATACCTATCTGATCCTTATTGGGTGGCTCTCATGACAAGCTAGAAGCAATGAAGGCAGGGTTCTAGTCTGGAACACAGGCCCTTGTGTCCTTGCAAAGAGTAACGATAAAAATGTAATTTTCTGAATAAAATTGATATTTTATACTTATCCTGACTCATGCTTATTGCTTGTCTTCTTCCTCTTGCGAACCGCCAAAACGGAAACAGAGATAACTCTGGTGAGTAGTGATTTTACAGTATGTTTTATTGAAGGGAGCTTCAATAAGGAGATACAAGTGTTCCACTAGGTTCGCAAGAGGAAGAAGACAAGCAATAAGCATGAGTCAGGATAAGGAAAAATAATTTTTTTTAGATGACACAGTATAATACATTATGACAAGGCCGGACACTTCGGTATACCCAACCCGCCGGCTTTGCCGATCGCTACACTACCATCGCATGTAATCGATTAAAACTTAATGTGAACATAATCATGGATGATAGGCTATCGAGCACCAATCATGAAACCTACCAATTCTTTATTGTTATTTCTGTAAGTCGATTGAAACCCGATTTTGCTTTGACCACACCTGTTTTGTGAGGACTCATCGTCATCCATTTGTGTCAAGACCGTTTAGTTTGGGGGTCAAAATCGGGTTTCAATCGACTTACAGAAATAACAATAAAGAATTGGTGGGTTTCATGAGTCGGGGGTCATCTCAAATGTTAGATATGTTTTTTTAACATCTTTAATCCTGGCAAAGACATGAGAGCCTGTGGTCTGGAACCGCAACAGCCGATGACTCAAGTCATCAATATGATCATCAATATGATCAAGTAGCCCAGTGGTTACAAGGTGTGGCATGGTGGATTGCGTTTTGTTGTAGCACACTGATGCCGATCACTGTTCTTGGTTTGAACATGTTGTACCTGTTTTGTCTGTACCAGTCTCCATTATTTACCGGATACCATGCATCAGAGGAAATAATTGAAATATTGTTGATGAGCATTGTATACTTAAATATCAAACACAGCAGCCATCATAGCTTACAATATCTGGCCCCGATTTTACGAAACAAACTAAGTTTTTACTCAAATTTCAAACTGAGTTTGACAATTTGAAACAGCTGAATTTTAACTCAACTGCATTTTATAAATAAAAAAGCCCAAACAACTTCAGTAATCTATCCACCAAACTCAAATTGTCTACTATGTTTGAGTTTATTGTCGATTTCAGTTTATTCTGGGAAATGCATTATCTCAAATTTGAGAAGACTCACACTTAAGTTTGTTTTGAGAAATCGGGGCCTGATTATCAAAGTGAGAGATGATTTGGGTCACCAACACGACTACCTGACTGAGTGACCGGGGTGCAGGGGCTGGAGTACTTCCTCTCAGGTGCGTTCCAGGGGAGAGGTATGAGAGGGGTGTGGGGTCACTAACAAGACCTACCTGACTGAGTGACCGGGTGCAGGGGCTGAAGTACCTCCAGGGGAGACTGAGAGGGGTGTGGGGTCACTGACCTACCTGACTGAGTGACAGGGGTGCAGGGGCTGAAGTACTTCCTCTCAGGTGTGTTCCAGGTGGAGGGTGTGGGGAGGTGAGTGAGCAGAAGTATTTTCCTCTCAGGTGTGTTCCAGGGGGTCACTAACAAGACCTACCTGACTGAGTGACTGGGGTGCAGGGGCTGGAAGTACTTCCTCTCAGGTGTGTGTTCCAGGGGTGTGGGGGACTACCTGACTGAGAAGTGTTCCAGGGGAGGTGTGAGGAGGGGTGTGGGGTCACTAACAAGACCTGACTGAGTGACAGGGGTGCAGGGGGCTGAAGTACTTCCCTCTCAGGTGTGTTCCAGGGAGAGAGAGGTGTGAGGGGTGTGGGGTCACTAACAAGACCCTGAGTGACTGGGGTGCCTGACTGAGTGTGTGGGGTCACTAACAAGACCTACCGGACTGAGTGACCGGGGTGCAGGGGCTGAAGTATTTCCTCTCAGGTGCGTTCCAGGGGGAAGGGACGATGAGTTGGGAGGCAAAGTAGTGTGAGATGGCCTGCTGTGCTCTCTCTTCTGCCTCTCGGTCGAGTCTGTATGGATGAAGAAGCTAGCATTACATAAAATCACGAGCATTACAAATACATACAAAATTGTGATAGAGCGTGAATGCCACCCTACAAGCTTTGTAGAAAGATACCTACATCATTTCCTTAAAATCAAATATATTGGTATCAAATACAGCAAAATACAGACCCAAGACAAATCTCAACCCAATCATATGATAAATTCAAACTATCCATACAATAAGAAAGAGAATTTTTATGGATGTCAACATCTTTATTATGAGGAACACAACGTTTCGGTGTATATCCTTACTCTTTCAACAGGTGAAAATTTTAACCTGATAAAGGAGTAAGGATATACTCCGAAACGTTGTGTTCCTCATAATACAGAAGTTGACATCCATAAAAAAATGTCTTCCTGATGTGTATCACTTCTAAATGCCATTCAAAGACCTATCCAAACAATAACCAGCCAACTCACCTATATAATAAACAGCCAACTTACCCATATATAAAAATATGCACATAGGTGAATTCACTATCGTAAAAAAAATTGCACATTTTGGTCAAAATTTGACTATTTAATGTTTTATCCATACGTTTTCATCCATGACAATCATTTTTTTCATTCATGTCAATCAATAACTTGAACATCTATCAATGACTGTAGCAAATTTTGTTTCATTATTTTCATAAATAACACTTTTAGACTCGTTTTTGTGTGACATGCAGAATTTCCCTGTCTGTAATCAGGCAGTCACGCGAATGAGTGACCCCCTCTCAGGTAGGCACTTGTACGCGTAACGGTGAACCGTCTCGTGTACACGTTATATCCTCTACTGATTAAACAGCCAACCAAGCCATACAATTAACAGCCAATCCACCCATATAATACACAGCCAACCTACCCATATAATAAACAGCCAACCCAATCATTTAAATGTTCAACCTACCCATATAATAAACAGCCAACCTAATCATATAAATGTTCAACCTACCCATACAATTAACAGCCAACTTACCCATATATTAAACAGCCAACCCAATCATTTAAATGTTCAACTTACCCATATAATAAACAGCCAACCCAATCATTTAATGTTCAACCTACCCATATAATAAACAGCCAACCCAATCATTTAAATGTTCAACCTACCCATATAATAAACAGCCAACCCAATCATTTAAATGTTCAACTTACTCATATAATAAACAGCCAACCCAGTCATTTAAATGTTCAACCTACCCATATAATAAACAGCCAACCCAGTCATTTAAATGTTCAACCTACCCATATAATAAACAGCCAACCCAGTCATTTAAATGTTCAACCTACCCATATAATAAACAGCCAACCCAATCATTTAATGTTCAACCTACCCATATAATAAACAGCCAACCCAGTCATTTAAATGTTCAACCTACCCATATAATAAACAGCCAACCCAATCATTTAAATGTTCAACTTACCCATATAATAAACAGCCAACCCAGTCATTTAAATGTTCAACCTACCCATATAATAAACAGCCAACCCAGTCATTTAAATGTTCAACCTACCCATATAATAAACAGCCAACCCAGTCATTTAAATGTTCAACCTACCCATATAATAAACAGCCAACCCAGTCATTTAAATGTTCAACCTACCCATATAATAAACAGCCAACCCAGTCATTTAAATGTTCAACCTACCCATATAATAAACAGCCAACCCAGTCATTTAAATGTTCAACCTACCCATATAATAAACAGCCAACCCAATCATTTAATGTTCAACCTACCCATATAATAAACAGCCAACCCAGTCATTTAAATGTTCAACCTACCCATATAATAAACAGCCAACCAAGCCATACAACAAATGAACAAACAGACAATCCACTCATATAATAACTGACCTGTCCAAAAGAACAAATTGACAACATTTCATGACATTCAATTACACTTACAATGCAACACTTGCTAGAAATTTAAATAATCTATCTTTGAAGTTGTCCTACTGATTATAATGAAACACTAAACCCTGCAACTGTGATCAAAAATAAGCCATTTCCACAAAATTCTAACTAGATTTAGACTGTCTGCTGAAGCTTCAGACTAAATTAGAATGTTATCACGTCCACACACTGGTCATGTCACTGTCACCAATTACCTGTGAAACAATGGACCTGGTTTCATTACACAGTGCCAGGGACTATATATAGATAGATATAGAGGGTCATGTGATTCTCCGGGGTGTCAGTCTCACTCACTAACCCATGTTCCTGCTGTTCCGGCATATCCTCGATGTTAGCTGGGTTCAAGGCAGCAATGTGCTCTATTGACCAACGGAAGGTTTTCTGGAACACAACCACAGCAGAATGAGCATAAACATAATTCATGTGCCATGAAAACAATGTAGGTCATCTATATTTTTGTTTTGTTTCTCATCTCCAATTTAGAAGTGTAAGATAGTGGGCAGGTAAACATATGAATAAAAATAACAATTTTTTTTAGAAATATAAATTTTCACTAATTCTGTTATTTGTGTAAAACTTATTTTATAAATTTTTAAAACTACGATCACTTAGGCAAAAATAAATAAATGACTGTTTCCTATTACATATTTTTTTAAAAATAGGGTAGGTGGGTCGGTTTTATCTCCTTTTTAAATTTTTTTTAGTAGCACCGGGTGGGCACCAGAGAAGGTCTTCAAGAGTACCATATCATGTAGTGACAATGCCTTGTGATGAAACATTGAAAGATTTCTATATCGATTCATTATGTATGTTATTTATTTGCAGGTTTTGTCAGTGAGAGCCCATAATGCCAATTCAATACAATCCATTTTAGCCCTACGTACACTGAAAAACATGAAAATATCACACTCGATGTGGATGAAAATGATGAGTGGTTTAGCAGAGGCCCAGATAAGCTGCGTATCCGGGTAAAATACACATAGAAAATTTCCAATTACACATTGAAAAATAATTGTTGCGTACCAATTACGCATTTAAAATGTTAGATACGCAAAAAGTTTAAAACAAATGCGACCGGAATATATTTATAAAAATAGCTTGCGGAATGAAAAAGACATCGATTGCTATCAAGTTGTACTGTTAGTATAGGACAAGTGTTGTACTGTCAGTATAGGATGAGTGATTTATTATGAAATCATTTCCATTATATTTAAGTTGGTTTTGATTAGGTATGACATGAGGCAGAACATACCTGCTTAGTAAACTTACTCAATGACATAATACGTAAGTGAATAAAATGACTGAAATACGCACATATTTGAAAGCAGTGGGTAACGGAAAATGAAATACCCACTCAACATTCATAATACCCACTCCAAAAATACAGTGGGTACAGTACCCACATGAGCTAAATCTAATCTGGAGCTCTGGTTTAGGATACGGTCGGTCGGGTTACCGGACACGGATATGTTTTGTTTGTTTTTTCTTACTGACAGTCTTTAGTTTACTTTCCTGATGTAGATTGAGCCGTTTTGTTCCTGAAACTACTTTTTCAAAAATGTAGACGAAGAAAGATCAAGTTCACCGGGTATTTTATAAGTGTGAAAAGGTGAAAGTATTTTTTGCATCATGTCTGGACTTAAATTCCACTGTGCAAGTAAATTGAGATATGTGAACTTTTTATTATCACGATTATTTCAAATTAGAAGGACAATTCTGGGTGGGCAGGAGATGGGGATCATCAACAGCCTAATCCCAAACCTGAAGCCTTAGAGTGTGTGAGTTGAGTTTTAAACCGCTTTTGGCAATATGCCAGCAATATCATGTCTGGGGACACCAGAAATGGGTTTAACACTTTGTACCCATGTGGGGAATCGAACCCGGGTCTTCGGAGTGATGGGTGAAAGCTTTGAGTTTAGCCATCAGGCTACCCCACAGCCCCTGAGGCTGCAGAATAGAGTATAAAGATATCCATAAATTGTTGTATAACCATTTTAAGCAAAGGGGCAGGTTTGTTTGTACCATGTGTGAGTGAGTTTAGCTTACGCCGGACTCAGCAATATTCCAGCTATATGGCGGCGGTCTGTAAATAATCAAGCCTGGACCAGACAATCCAGTGATCAATAGCATGAGCATTGATCTGCGCAATTGGGAACCGATGACATGTGTCAACCAAGCCAGCGAGCCTGACCACCCGATCCCATTAGTCGCCTCTTTCGACAAGCATAGGTCCCTGAAGGTTCATTCTAACACGGACCTACACAGGTGTACCATGTGTATTCTCATAGGCAAGACTGGGATTCTGAAAACGGTGTCTGCTATGTTGAGATCACTAAATACTTTAATTAAAAACATTTAATAATAGCCATTGATAGCTGGATTTGTGTAATAATCACACCCAGAAAAGAGATTCAGCAATATTTGTACACAGCTGTTTAATTCTGTCAGTCTGTATGATCTCCATACAACATGTACAAAGCATGAAACTGAGGATCAACATTCCACAACTGATTATTTCATGTTCATAAAAAAATGTTTCTAAAAAGGAAGTACACACTTATTTCCTCATTTGAAACATACCAGTTTTAGAATTAGTTATATCTGAAAATATACGCACATTTTTCTCACATTGAATAGAATATAGCTAATAATAAGTGCTGAAATGTTATGCTTTTATGAGGCCTTAGTTTTCCAAGTTAAACAGGCCATTTAGATTATGACATAACTGGTGCAAATTGATTTAGTCCAGGGGTGGAAATAACCCATTGCCCGACGTCCGAGTCCAGTGTTGTTTTCTGTCGGGCAAGCTAATTTGTATATCATGCTGTACCGGTGTCCAGTTGATCTCCCAATATTAATTATGTTGTTTATTTAAAAAATCAACAAGAAAATCGGCCGGTATAGTGGAAAAATTATCAGGGCAAGTGATTTTACATGTGCCACTGTACCAGAGTACACTAGCAATTTTAAAGTTATTTCCACCCCTGTAGTCTGGTCTCCTGTGTAGTCCAAAAGCAAAAGATATCCATTGTGAAATTAATTGTGTGAAAACGTATGTAATTGTAAAATATGTGAAAGATGCATCCTAACTGAAACCATAGCAGCAGGAGAGATTGACGATATTATTGTAACAACCCAACTGTAAAGTGTTCAAAGTTAAGAGTGAGTGAGTGAGTTTAGTTTTACACCTCACACAGCAATATTCCAGCTCTATGGTAGCAGTCTGTAAATAATAGAGTCTGGGCCAGACAATCCAGTGATTAACAGCATGAGCATTGATTTACGATATGATGACGCGTCTACCAAGTCAGCAAGCCTGACCACTATCCCATAACAACGAGAGTTCTATGGATATACAACCTCTTTAATATATTATGAGCGACGTTTCGGTGTAGCTACTAACACCGTTATCAAGCAAAAAATAAATAAAAAAGTCATTTTGTTTTTGCTTGATAACGGTGTTAGTAGCTACACAGCGTTCACGAATAGTGTCTGACCCTCTGACAAATCCGGTAGATTTGCCAACGGTCCGATAGAAGTCTACAACCCACCAGCCCCAGTGTCCGACTCTATATTTCACAATGACATTGACTGAAGTTGTTATATGTGACATGTGACACTTGTTTGCTGTTTATAAATCTTATGTTTGTTAATAATTTCAATTCCAGTTATAAGAAATGTTAAATCTCAAATGTGTGTTTAATTTTATTCTATGGGTCCTCAGAATTTGCAATGGGACTCAATGTCCTGTTACTTTGAAACACCATTCGTGAACACTGGCTACACCGAAACGTTGCTCATATTATATTAAAGAAGTTGTATATCCATAGAACTCTCCTCGTTGTTCATCACACCAACTTCTAAATGTCACTCAACCAAACGATCCCGTTAGTCGCCTCTTACGACAAGCATGGGTTACTGAAGATCAATTTTAACCCATATCTTCACGGGCTTTGAAGTTATAAGGAACCAGGACCCTGGTCATACTTACCCCATCCTCTCCTGCTGGCGTCGACATAACAGTAAACAAACCAGGACTGAATCCTGGGAAATGTACACGGTCACCTGTCATGTCAAAGGGGTTGCTCATCACATGACTCTGAGGCGTCAGATGATTGGCTACTCCGGGATGGAGCCTGGATCCATTGGGAGTTTTGGCACGGCTGCTGCTAGGCGTGGAACCAGCCTCTCTGATCGGAGTTTTGAACAGGAGTGGACTGCCATAGTCAGTCTGAACAGACACCATGGAAGGGTGTTTATGATAAGGACTAGACAGTGCATGGCGGAGATATGTGTCTGAACGAAGTCCACATGTTCCAAATCTGACATGAACTGGGCTTCTTTGAGATGTGCTGGGTGTGTTGGAGTCCTGTGTTTTGGAGAATGGAAGAGGACATCCTCGGGGAGGTCTGTCAGCATTCTTGTCTGGGGTCACATTGTTGAGGTCAAAGTGAGGCACAGGGCTGAAAGCTGGTCTGGAATCCAAAGTTTCACTGGCACAAGACTCTGCTTCCATATTATCACCAGCCTCTTATCTGAAAATGGAATGTTCTGATGAGTGGATAATGTATGTCCAAATATTCAAAGCCGTATCACAGTAGACAAAAAAAAAGCAAAACAATTGAATATCCAATAGGCAAAACACTGTGCAAAAATATAAGTCTATCTATGAGGGCAAAGTTATGGTCATGAATACAAGATGATATGCAGAGAACCAAGTCGCTGAGCCAGAACACCAGATCTCTTTAGTGGGCTCTTGCAACAAACATGTGCATGCTATGAGTGTTACTGTAAGATGTGATATTACTGTTTTGCATTCAGTTAAGTAAATATTGAGTCTGACAGTACATATCAAACACACATGCATGCTGCTTTGTGTTATTAACTTTGTTGTGAGTCCCCATGAGAATATTTCCTGCTGAAGACACAGACATTCACATACATTTGGGCATGTTGGGTAATGGTAGAAAATATTACAAGTAGGACACTAGATTGTAAGTAACAACCAACATGTAAATAAGTTGATCAAAGCTGAAAATCCCCATGAATTGTGAAATTCTAAGATAGTTAAGTAAGAAGTAAACGACTCTGTTAAATAGACTTGTAACAGCCAATCAATATTCTGTAACCTGTACTTTCATACACTGTAATCAGTAAATCTATTCAAAATGTTACCGTTCATGTAATTTGTAAAAGAAAGCATGACTGGACCCCTTTCACCATTTTCAGGCTCGATATGCACGAGCTCCATCCTTCATCACAGTTCATAATCTTCCACACAGTTTAAACTCTATGGTTTAAACTAAAAGGGTTTGTCCGTCATCATCGAAATCAGATTAAGTCACACGCGTGGATGTTTTGTGGTAATCAGCTGAAATTATAGGTCAAACAAAAAGGTGAATATGAACAAGGCGTTTAGAAGAATGATTCCTTGAATTTTTCGTCTTCATCATGATCAAAATCCTCGAAAAACATATGCAACAGTTTGTTTACCCTTAAAAAGTGGTTGTTTACACGGAGGAACAGCTCTGATTTCAGCTGTACTGCAGTACCTGTCGTTAGCTACTCGGGATCCCATTCACGTCTTCAGTTGCATTTATTCTGCAGAAAATGCCATGGTTATTACGGATCATCAGAAAACAGACTATTTCATCAGAAATGAAAGTGAAAACAGTAATACAGGAGTTGAAATGAAGTACCATTTAAGTGTGTCGTTTGTAAACATTCACGGCGAATTTGTCCAGACTTGCTCCAGGGTTCCCGTCAGATTTTGAACTGCCGCTGCTTTTGCAGCCAATGAAAATGTACTTCCGGGTTCATCAATACACTGATGTTCTAAATGAATATTTATCAATATTCAAACTAGTTGAAGACAACATTATGAAAGAACCATAAATAACGTTTAAATAATACCGCGAGCGCAAAATATGAATTTAGTACATACTTTTCTCTGGATAACGATGATGTTTCCAAATGTACGTGTGGGTCATTACGTTGGAATATTCTGAAAGAGATCGTTTCTGCTCTTGTGGGCACTTTTTAAAAAATATATTGGGATTTACATTATTCTGAAGATTTTTTTCTCGGCGTAATAGAAAGCCACATATCGGGAAAATGTCAATTCTGTTTTCATGAATAATTTTCTGCGGTACAGTTATTGTTTGAAAAATGGCGGATACTAGTAGATCGCGAGTTCCCTCGGCTCGAGAAACCATGGAAAGTAAGCCCTGTTTTAAAATTATGTCTGACTCGGCTTACATTTTTAAATTCACTGATCCGTCTACGCCGTTTAAGTTAAACTGCTATTTTCTGAAGATCTTCCGCAGTTCAGTGTTGACAGACTTTTCCGACTGTCAATCAGTCATCTTCTTACCATATCAGCACCTAACCTGACTTGCTCTAAGTTGTTGTTGCAACAAATTACGTTATGATAAATAAATTGATTGGTGTATTCGACTATTTCATTGTATGCAATATGCTTTTTTGAATGTATTGAGTAGTTAATATACATAAGTAAACATGCATCAGATTATTTACAGAGGACACCATCACAAAATATACTAATTAATAAAGGAATTATTTTAATGACTGGGTTGTATTTATAACATGTAAGATTGCTTATATTCTTATGCTTAAGAATATAGTTTAACCATAAATGCTTCAGTGTGCAATCGCATGTCTCCCCATCTGTCAGTCACCATTTTGTCCAGGTAGATCAAATGTGAAATAATGCTATAATCAGTAATGATAGTGTTACAGTCTCTTATGTTGTTGGAATTGATTTGGTAAGACTACAGAATACCGGATACCCTCCGCCATCTTTGAAAGCAAGCGAATTTACTTTTGGTTAGGGTTAAGGTTTAGGGTTAGGGTAAGGTTTAGGGTGACGTGACACTAAACTGTTAAACAATATGGCTGGTAGGTAGCCGGTATTCTGTAGGTATGCCATTTATTTGACTAGATATTGTCATAGAAGTCTAACATGACTGATACTGATACAGGTTTTCCCTTTTGTTTGTGTCAACAAGTCCTGAATTGAAGCATTTTTTCATTGCAGCACTAATGGAGATCTCCAAACTGTTGAACACAGGACTTGATGGGGAGACGCTGGCGACCTGTGTACGTTTGTGTGAAGGGGGTGTCAACCCTGAAGCTCTGGCACTTGTCATTCAAGAGTTACTGCGTGAGTCATCGGCTGTCAAGGTAATAATGCAGTTTAACATTGTCCCAACTTTGAATGTTCTACCATGTCTACAGTGAAAGGTTACAGCAAATTTTGTATATAATGTGAGGTTATTATACCTCAGTATTAAATTAGAAAATCATCACGTAAAAGATTCTGCCTTCTTCCAAAATAATGATATTTTTCTCCAATTAAAGGTCACATGCAACGTAAAACTCAACTTTGCAGATTCTGATACCTTTCGGTATTGACATACCGAAACAAATCGTCAAAAATGCAAATTCAACTTATAAAGTTGAAAAATAATGCGATGAAAAAAAAACGTGCGAAATCGGAGTTCAAACGTTTCACTAATTTTCCCCCGACTTTTCTGGGGAAAACGGGTTTCAACAGCTGGGCTGCGCTCATAGCACGCATGCGCAAGTAAATAGGTTCGCGCAGCTTGGAAGCGGGTTGTCGGGTGAATACTCGGTGAAGGCTTTGGTGTGAGCTATTTTTCTAATGTTTTGTTGATATCTCACAGGCGCGAGCTTTTTACATGTTATGACAGTAAATTAACTGTTTATATAATTTCATTTGTCTATTTCACCACACGTTCTTCTTACCGAGTCACTTTCTCAGTTCGATACTTAAAAGCAATGTCATTATTTAACTGTGATATAGATATGTCGTTGTCACAGACAAAACTCAATGTCTTGTTTTATTGACACCTGTGTGTCTGCGTGCCTGTCTGCTAATGACAATATTCAATACACAGCTGCTATCACTGACCACATGCAATTTGAACTTAACACCAATCAGGCTATACACCATAAACAAAATGCATTGATTTATGGCCCGAGTTCGGTCTCTGTCACATTATGTAATTACACAGACAGGCAGGTGTGATACTTGAACACATGACATGTTATGATGTCTGTTGATTGCAAAATGTTATACACAAGAAATGAGCATGTATTTACAAAACCCAACATCTCTATATATATATACACACAATTAGCCGTGAAGGCATCTGCAAATGAACCAGCCGTTACACTTGAGTGCACACCCACCCGCTCTGACTGGGTTCGGTATCCCGGCTGCTTCGTTTCTTGGGAAGTAAACCAAGTACACAATTTTGCACTTTTGATTTGCGATTGTACGCTTATAATTTTGTTTATATATTTTTTCGTAACCAGCAATGTATATTATATGTCATGAATAAGTGATAATTGTGTTTTAATTATGTTTGATTTTTTTGTTGCATGTGACCTTTAACCATGTACACCTCAAATACTAGTTTACGATCCTACTTTACAAAGATCATAACAACATTTAATCATGTCATCTTTAATACAGGTAGCATAACAGGTAGCATAAAGGGAATGACAGATGAGTTATCATGTCAAGTGATGTTTGATTGCAAGTTTCCTATTAATACTTTACAAAGTTTGTTTATTCACCTCTGACGATACTGGGCACATTACATGAAATAGCAGTTATGCTATGCACAGGGAAAATACTATTTCACTTGTTTGTGCCAAGTTATATATAATGCGGGTGTCTCATAACACGGGGGTCCTCCATGGACCCCAATACCCGCGTTATGGCGAGGGATGACTGTATTAATATTACCATGATTATTGGAATGTTGTGTTTACCAGGAACTTTATTGTTTTGTTTTGGTAGGCATCTGAGACTTCTGGCCAGTCCTATTCCTGACAGTGATGTAATGTGTGGAACAAACACAGGCTGTGATAGTTGGGATGATGCTGTGGATGCAGAAGCCATCACACTGTTGTTGTCAACATCTTCGAGATTGGGTGGCACTTCACAGGAACTGTTATGAGTGTCATCATATGTCGACGCAATATGAATGTATTCATGGACAGAGGATTTGTCTCCCCTTCTGTCAGTCCTGCAGTTAATGTAGGATTTGTGCTGGGACACTAGTTTTGTTACAGTTATTATTGATAATCATGTAATTGGACAGCTATTCATTGTGTATGCATGTAATAAAGAATGATCATTAAACATTTCTCTGTTGTGAATATAGGGGCAGTGGGGTAACCTAGTGGTTAAAGCGTTCGCTCGTCGCGCTGAAGGCCTCGGGTTCGATTTCCCACATGGGTACAATGTGTGAAACCCATTTCTGGTGTCCCCTGCTGTGATATTGCTGGAATATTGCTAAAAGCGAGGTAAAGGTAAACTCACTCACTCACTGTTGTGAATTTGTACCAATAATGTTTTTGTCTTCAACCATGAGTTACACCATTGTTGGATGGCTGTTGTTTAACACCGCACTCAGCAATATTCGAGCAATGTGGCGGCGGTTTGTAAATAATCAAGTCTGGACCAGACAATCCAGTGATAAAGTACTAGATCATCGATCTTCACAATTGGGATTCAATGTGTCAACCAAGAGAGCCAGCATGACCACCTGATCCTATTAGCCAATTCTAATGGTCGTCCGTTACACCAATGTGTCATTATGCCCAACTGGCTTTAAACAGCTAACAAATAAATACATATTTATATACATGCAAACCCACATACGCATGCACACAAATGCTCACACTAGCAATATTTCAGCAATATCACTGTGTGGAACACCAGAAATAGAACCCTTTAACCACCAGGCTACCTAACCAACCTTGCTGTTGCAGGCGACTAACAACTAATGTTATCTGGTGTTCAGGCTCGCTGACTTGGTTGACAGGTCATCGGTTCCCAATTGCGTAGATCAATGCTCATGCTGTTGATCACTGGAATGTCTGGTCCAGACTCGATTATTTACAGACCATCGCCAAATAGCTGGAATATTGCTGAGTGCGGCGTAAACATAAACTCACTCACTCACTGTTGTGAATTTGTACCAATAATGTTTTTGTCTTCAACCATGAGTTACACCATTGTTGGATGGCTGTTGTTTAACACCGCACTCAGCAATATTCGAGCAATGTGGCGGCGGTTTGTAAATAATCAAGTCTGGACCAGACAATCCAGTGATAAAGTACTAGATCATCGATCTTCACAATTGGGATTCAATGTGTCAACCAAGAGAGCCAGCATGACCACCTGATCCTATTAGCCAATTCTAATGGTCGTCCGTTACACCAATGTGTCATTATGCCCAACTGGCTTTAAACAGCTAACAAATAAATACATATTTATATACATGCAAACCCACATACGCATGCACACAAATGCTCACACTAGCAATATTTCAGCAATATCACTGTGTGGAACACCAGAAATAGAACCCTTTAACCACCAGGCTACCTAACCAACCTTGCTGTTGCAGGCGACTAACAACTAATGTTATCTGGTGTTCAGGCTCGCTGACTTGGTTGACAGGTCATCGGTTCCCAATTGCGTAGATCAATGCTCATGCTGTTGATCACTGGAATGTCTGGTCCAGACTCGATTATTTACAGACCATCGCCAAATAGCTGGAATATTGCTGAGTGCGGCGTAAACATAAACTCACTCACTCACACAGTTAAAGGGTGTGGAACCGAACTCTTCACTCAAGCATTTACAGGTACAAACCACATTAGATTATTTGGTGTAACTGGCGTCACTCCGTCACTCGTGTTAACAACATGTTCAGTTTATATGCTGCGAATAGCATCGATGGGTAACAAACGTGAGGAGGAGAGTAACATACAGCCCACTATCTGGAATATATTGGGGCTAAACAAAGAAACTGGCTGACCGTTATACTCTGTGTGGTAATCGTATTATTCATCCACAGCTTCAAAAGCCCAAGACTAAGACAGTAGTGAGTGAGTATGGCTCTACCCGTTTTTTAGCAGTATTCCCACAATATCACGGTGGGGCACACCAGAAATGGGCTTCACACATTGTAACCATGTAGGGGAATCGAACCCGGGACTTAGCGAGCGCTTTAACCACTAGGCTACCTCACCGCCCCACTAAGGCAATAGAAATAATGTGTGTATATTACTTAAATATGTATAACATGTATAAGACAACGAAAGTATGGACTGACATAATGTGATGTAACAGACAAATCCTTTTCTAACCAGCAATGGCGTAAAATTGAAGCGAGAGAAATTAAAAAAGGAAACGATATAAACAACTCGCTGGTACCTGTAGTTGATGAGCAGTTAATGTACAGGTCATTACAAAACACAATACACCCATTTACAAAACTCAAGACAATGCATGTCATTTATTAGGCCAATATAATAGCACCATGATCCGCATTACAAACATTAGCATCGCCGCCGCTAGCTAGAGCGGCTTATTGTAATGCAATAATTCATGAATAATAAAAAAAATAAAGGTACGCATATGTAAGTCTGTAATCAGACAGTAGTGGAATCAGCTATCGACACCAACGAGGGGGCTAATGTCCACAAGGCCATCGCTACTCTCCATCTCACCGAGCAACGACACAACTATGTTTATCTGTTCATCCGTCATTGGGAGTCCTGATGTCACAATGGCGCTGATGATGTCAGTCGCAACGAGTCGCTGTTCACGTCGCTTGTCCAATGACAACAGAGTGTCGACAACGTCGACGTTTTCCTCCTCGCAATAACGCGCCAGATGTTCGAACAGATTGCCTGCGTTCACCTCTGAAATGGGAACGTTGAACAAGATGGCCGACTTCTTCTTCGGGCGTGGCTTAATGACGTAGTCTCCAAGAACCAGACCGTGCAGGACAGTGAAGTGTTTGATTTCTTGGAACTCCTTCTTGTTGGCTATGAATTCCTTGTCCACCTCGACACCCGCCATGTCCAGATGTGTGATGGCACAATTTTCAGACATCATGGATTTTAGAATGGCCTTTGCACCTTCCACCCCTATTGGGTTATGATCCAGTATTAACGTCTTCAGCATGTCGTTCGTTTCCATGCCTTTAGCGATTAGCAGTGCCCCGGGTGTTGATATTCGGTTGTAGCTGATTCTCAGATCTGTCAGTACCTGGTTTAACCTCAGGATGTCGCACACACCAACTGCTCCTTCGTTACCGAATCCGTTGAAAGAAAAATCCACAATCTTCAGTCTGGCGTTGGTCTTGATGCCATCACAAAGGTACATAGCTCCTTTGGCCCGTAAGTAGTTCCAGCTCAGGTCAAGTTCTTCAACCGTGTCATTATCGCAGATAGCTGGACTTAATAAAGCCGCGGAAGCATCCCCGAGCTGGTTGTGACCAAGTTTTAGTATTCTTACACGGTTGTTTTCATTCAAAGCATCAGCTATGTACTGCGCTTCGGCATCAGTGATTTGGTTCCCTGTCAAATCCAGCACCTGTAGCGTAGTATTGGACATGAGCATATCGCAGACGGCTAGAGCTCCACGCCGACCTAGTTTGTTCCAAGCGATGTTCAGCTCAGCAATGTAACAATTTTCTTTCAGCATTTTGGACACATAGACTGCTCCCTCCCCCTCCAACCAGTTGTCCTCCAGGTTCAAACTCAGAACCGATGTGTTTGTCTGCAGCGGTAACGACATGACCTTGACCCCCACAGCTCCAAGGCCGTGATGTTGCATGTTGAGTTCCGCGTCCTGCATGTGTCTAAGGAAGTAACTAGCAGGAATGATCCCGTGACTTTTACAGGCGTTGATGTAGAGATTCCGACCTGTCATGTCAAAGTCCTTCTTTTCTTCTTCGACCTCCAGGTCCGTGTCGTATTCATCGTCGTTGGAAGTGGGAGACTGGGTCGCGTTGCGAGGAGACCAAGCCAGCCGACCCTCACTGAATTCGGAGATCACCCCCATCGAAGATCGCGGCATAGACGCCTTGCCGCTCATCTTGATGCCGCGGCTGTAACGATGCCAATGTTGCCAAAGAGTAGATGATGTCATAGACAAAACTATGACGTCATTTTGTAATTCTCTTAATGGTGAGAGCATTGTGATGTCAGACACAGTAACATGACAATAGAACGATGTCCATACAGTGACGTCACAATGGTGAATAATGCACATAACTCGCATTTGCGTTTAGAAGTCGACTGACTCATCATGTAACATAAACACAATTCACATATGGTGGACTAATTCATCTTTTGGCCTTCTTTTAATCACTCACAATATATTTCTGCCCAGTGCACATACGGCCTTTTATATTTCATTTTCAGATTTGACTTCACATTTTTACCTTTTGCGTTAATGGCGGCAGAAACATAAAATAACCCAAACCAAACCAAAACAACACTGAACTGGAACGTTCAGACTTTCACTAGACTCGGACTTAAAGACCACGGTACGTGTCTAACCCAGCTCTATACAAACTTCATACAGGTGTCATACAATCCACATGAGTTGTATTGACATGGTGTTGGGTTACTCCCTCACCGAACAGTTCACACTCCACCGGTACCTTTCAAAGGTTGCAACGATCACTTGAGCTTACTTCGTCTTCATTGACCTTGCCCCAACGTGGACGATCGCTCTTCCTCACCTCCATACAAAAACCCGGTAGAGTTCCGCTCTACTCTGCAGTACTCGCGTCGCCTCAAGTATTCACAAAAGCCACACTATGTAAAATTTATTTACTGTGACAGGATAATCAATTAATTTGACAGGTACTTGTAAATTTTGAATTTGTACTCTGTGTTTATTCGTCTGTAATGCCGATTGGTACATTTGCGCTTGGCAGGACTTGGCTACAGACTGGCCTATGATATCATTTACTGTGATCTGTAGCGGTGTTCACTGAATATCTCGTCGTTTCTCTACGTTATGATTAGAAGCAGCATGGACGATATATTTTCTCGAGGTGGTGAGTACTTGCATAGGAGAGCCCTTTTCCTTGCTGAAATGAGTGAACGAGATTTAACGTACTTTTGAACATGTAGAACCAATGTGAAAGAGAGCCTTGCAGCTACATGAACATCTTGGTATCTAGTTGCAGTTCAGAATTTCAGATGTGAAGTCTGTTATCGTGCGTGGAATGACATGTAAGCAAATAAACCTTTGATGGAGTTAGTGAGCTTGGTTTAATGGCTCCCAAACTGTATATCTGTTCAATTGTGTGTTAATTTTATATGGGTTGAAAGCATAAAGTTACAACTTTACATTTCATGGCAAACACAAGGCCGTTATGATACGTTGGCAGCATCACCAAAATGGTTCAGTGATGCATGTGATACATTTGTTTCAGGGATACTAAGAACACATCAGGGATAAAGGGAACACATCTGTTTAAGAGATTCAGGGAACACATCTGTTTCAGGGATACAGGGAACACATCTGTTCCAGGGATTAAGGGAACACATCTGTTCCAGGGATACAGGGAACACACCTGTTTCAGGGATTAAGGGAACACACCTGTTTCAGGGATTCAGGGAACACATCTGTTTCAGGGATTAAGGGAACACATCTGTTTCAGGGATACAGGGAACACATCTGTTTCAGGGACACAGGGCACACATCTGTTTCAGGGATTAAGGGAACACATATGTTTCAGGGATTAAGGAAACACATCTGTTTCAGGGATACTATGAACACATCTGTTTAAGGGATTCAGGGAACACATCTGTTTCAGGGATACTATGAACACATCTGTTTCAGGGATTCAGGGAACACATCTGTTTCAGGGATACTATGAACACATCTGTTTCAGGGATTCAAGGAACACATCTGTTTAAGGGATTAAGGGAACACATCTGTTTCAGGGATACAGGGAACACATCTGATTCAGGGAACACATCTGTTTCAGGGATACTATGAACACATCTGTTTCAGGGATTCAGGGAACACATCTGTTTCAGGGATTCAGGGAACACACCTGTTTCAGGGATTCAGGGAACACATCTGTTTCAGGGATACAGGGAACACATCTGTTTCAGGGATTAAGGGAACACATCTGTTTCAGGGATTAAGGGAACACATCTGTTTCAGGGATTCTATGAACACATCTGTTCCAGGGATACAGGGAACACACCTGTTTCAGGGATACTATAAACACATCTGTTTCAGGGATACTATGAACACATCTGTTTCAGGAATACAGGGAACACACCTGTTTCAGGGATACAGGGAACACATCTGTTTCAGGGATTCAGGGAACACATCTGCTTCAGGGATACTATGGACACATCTGTTTCAGGGATTCAGGGAACACATCTGTTTCAGGGATTCAGGGAACACATCTGTTTCAGGGATTCAGGGAACACACCTGTTTCAGGGATACAGGGAACACATCTGTTTCAGGGATACAGGGAACACACCTGTTTCAGGGATTCAGGGAACACATCTGTTTCAGGGATTCAGGGAACACACCTGTTTCAGGGATTCAGGGAGCACACCTGTTTCAGGGATACAGGGAACACATCTGTTTCAGGGATACTATTGACACATCTGTTTCAGGGATACAGGGAACACATCTGTTTCAGGGATACAGGGAACACATCTGTTTCAGGGATACAGGGAACACATCAGGGATAAAGGGAACACATCTGTTTAAGAGATTCAGGGAACACATCTGTTTCAGGGATTCAGGGAACACATCTGTTTTTACAGGGAACACATCCTGTTTCAGGGAACACACCTGTTTCAGGGATTCAGGGAACACATCTGTTTCAGGGATTCAGGGAACACATCTGTTTCAGGGATTCAGGGGGGATTAGGGAACACACCTGTTTCAGGGATACAGGAACACATCTGTTTCAGGGATACTATTGACACATCTGTTTCAGGGATACAGGGAACACATCTGTTTCAGGGATACAGGGAACACATCTGTTTCAGGGATACTATGGACACATCTGTTTCAGGGATTCAGGGAACACACCTGTTTCAGGGATTCTATGAACACATCTGTTTCAGGGATTCAGGGAACACACCTGTTTCAGGGATACAGGGAACACATCTGTTTCAGGGATACAGGGAACACATCTGTTTCAGGGATACAGGGAACACATCTGTTTCAGGGATACTATGAACACATCTGTTTCAGGGATTAAGGGAACACATCTGTTTCAGGGATTCTATGAACACATCTGTTCCAGGGATTCAGGGAACACACCTGTTTCAGGGATACTATAAACACATCTGTTTCAGGGATACTATGAACACATCTGTTTCAGGGATACAGGGAACACACCTGTTTCAGGGATACAGGGAACACACCTGTTTCAGGGATACAGGGAACACATCTGTTTCAGGGATTCAGGGAACACATCTGTTCCAGGGATTCAGGGAACACACCTGTTTCAGGGATACTATAAACACATCTGTTTCAGGGATACTATGAGCACATCTGTTTCAGGGATTCAGGGAGCACACCTGTTTCAGGGATACAGGGAACACATCTGTTTCAGGGATACTATTGACACATCTGTTTCAGGGATACAGGGAACACATCTGTTTCAGGGATACAGGGAACACATCTGTTTCAGGGATACTATGGACACATCTGTTTCAGGGATTCAGGGAACACACCTGTTTCAGGGATACAGGGAACACATCTGTTTCAGGGATACAGGGAACACATCTGTTTCAGGGATACAGGGAACACATCTGTTTCAGGGATACTATGGACACATCTGTTTCAGGGATTCAGGGAACACACCTGTTTCAGGGATTCTATGAACACATCTGTTTCAGGGATTCAGGAACACACCTGTTTCAGGGATACAGGGAACACATCTGTTTCAGGGATACAGGGAACACAACACATCTGTTTCAGGGATACAGGAACACATCTGTTTCAGGGATACTATGAACACATCTGTTTCAGGGATTAAGGGAACACATCTGTTTCAGGGATTCTATGAACACATCTGTTCCAGGGATTCAGGGAACACACCTGTTTCAGGGATACTATAAACACATCTGTTTCAGGGATACTATGAACACATCTGTTTCAGGGATACAGGGAACACACCTGTTTCAGGGATACAGGGAACACACCTGTTTCAGGGATACAGGGAACACATCTGTTTCAGGGATTCAGGGAACACATCTGTTCCAGGGATTCAGGGAACACACCTGTTTCAGGGATACTATAAACACATCTGTTTCAGGGATACTATGAGCACATCTGTTTCAGGGATTCAGGGAGCACACCTGTTTCAGGGATACAGGGAACACATCTGTTTCAGGGATACTATTGACACATCTGTTTCAGGGATACAGGGAACACATCTGTTTCAGGGATACAGGGAACACATCTGTTTCAGGGATACTATGGACACATCTGTTTCAGGGATTCAGGGAACACACCTGTTTCAGGGATACAGGGAACACATCTGTTTCAGGGATTCAGGGAACACATCTGTTTCAGGGATGCTATGAACACATCTGTTTCAGGGATACAGGGAACACACCTGTTTCAGGGATACTATGAACACATCTGTTTCAGGGATACTATGAACACATCTGTTTCAGGGATTCAGGGAACACATCTGTTTAAGAGATTCAGGGAACACATCTGTTTCAGGGATACAGGGAACACATCTGTTTCAGGGATTCAGGGAACACATCTGTTTCAGGGATTCGGGGAACACATCTGTTTCAGGGATTCAGGGAACACACCTGTTTCAGGGATTAAGGGAACACATCTGTTTCAGGGATACTATGAACACATCTGTTTCAGGGATTCAAGGAACACACCTGTTTCAGGGATACTATGAACACATCTGTTTCAGGGATACTATGAACACATCTGTTTCAGGGATTCAGGGAACACATCTGTTTAAGATATTCAGGGAACACATCTGTTTCAGGGATACAGGGAACACATCTGTTTCAGGGATACAGGGAACACATCTGTTTCAGGGATACTATGGACAGATCTGTTCCAGGGATTCAGGGAACACACCTGTTTCAGGGATACTATGGACACATCTGTTCCAGGGATTCAGGGAACACACCTGTTTCAGGGATTAAGGGAACACATCTGTTTCAGGGATACTATGAACACATCTGTTTCAGGGATTCAAGGAACACACCTGTTTCAGGGATACTATAAACACATCTGTTTCAGGGATACTATGAACACATCTGTTTCAGGGATACAGGGAACACACCTGTTTCAGGGATACAGGGAACACATCTGTTTCAGGGATTCAGGGAACACATCTGTTCCAGGGATACAGGGAACACACCTGTTTCAGGGATTAAGGGAACACATCTGTTTCAGGGATTCAGGGAGCACACCTGTTTCAGGGATACAGGGAACACATCTGTTTCAGGGATACTATTGACACATCTGTTTCAGGGATACAGGGAACACATCTGTTTCAGGGATACAGGGAACACATCTGTTTCAGGGATACAGGGAACACATCTGTTTCAGGGATACTATGGACACATCTGTTTCAGGGATTCAGGGAACACACCTGTTTCAGGGATTCAGGGAACACATCTGTTTCAGGGATACAGGGAACACATCTGTTTCAGGGATTAAGGGAACACATCTGTTTCAGGGATTAAGGGAACACATCTGTTTCAGGGATTCAGGGAACACATCTGTTTCAGGAATACAGGGAACACATCTGTTTCAGGGATACTATGAACACATCTGTTTCAGGGATTCAGGGAACACATCTGTTTAAGAGATTCAGGGAACACATCTGTTTCAGGGATACAGGGAACACATCTGTTTCAGGGATACAGGGAACACATCTGTTTCAGGGATTCAGGGAACACATCTGTTTCAGGGATTAAGGGAACACATCTGTTTCAGGGATTCAGGGAACACATCTGTTTCAGGGATACAGGGAACACACCTGTTTCAGGGATACAGGGAACACGCCTGTTTCAGGGATTCAGGGAACACACCTGTTTCAGGGATACAGGGAACACATCTGTTTCAGGGATTAAGGGAACACATCTGTTTCAGGGATTCAGGGAACACATCTGTTTCAGAGTTTCCAAATTTTGCTAGCCAGTCGGGCTAGCTATGCCTGAAAGTTACTACCCCACAAAATAAGTTACGAGCCCGAATTTTGAATGTAAACACGGATAAGCCA